CGGGAAGAAACGGTTGGCCTACATGGACCAAGTCTACTGCGTTCGAGTTGTTACTTAAAACCAAATCAATAATAGATGCTGAATTTTCACAAAAATTGGTAGGTTCCTCTACAAATTGGGTCATGCCATATCTTGTGAAAATTTCCTTCATCTTAGATTGTCGTGGATTCATTTGGTCGTATTAAAATCGCCTATAATTAAGATGGTCTCAATGCCAGTATCTGAAGCAAGATCAAAAGAATGCTCTATAAGATTCAACAAATGCTGTGGTGAGTTAGGAGGCCTATAGAAAGTACCGAGCAAAAAGGGTCGAGCAAAAAGGGTCGACTTTGTTTTAACTTTAATTCTAGCCAAACACTATCTAACCCATTTACTTCTACGTCACATCTCCGTTTTACAGAAAGATAACTTTTCACATAAACAGCCACCCCACCACCGATACGATCTACTCTGTCATGCCGGAACGGCTTTACAAAATTGTCTAACAGAACATCATTTTCGAGAACATCTGGCTTTAACCAAGTTTCCGTAAAGCAGAGTATATCCAGGTGCTGAGGTTCGACATTTATTAAATCTAGTTTAGGTTCTAAACTCTGAACATTTAAATGCACAAATGATATAAATTTGTAGAGACAATGCTTAAATTCAACAAAGGAGAGGTCTGATACGGATGCCAATGTGGATTTATCTGAAGAATATAGCGATGATGGACCAGGATTTTTTTCTATGTCCCCAGACAAAAGCAAGACTAATATCAATATAAATAGCATGATAAATAATACAATTTTTATTATTACACAATATATGATACAACACTTCGGTAATAAATTTAGTATCCAAGCCCGACTTTGTTTGGCTTTCTTTTGACAAAATATCTCATTATTACCTGTTGAATTTTCTTTGAGATTAAGTTTGGTTTTTAATTCAGATTTACATATGATTAACAATAATATTACAGGTACATGTATGGCTCCCAAACTATGCTGCATACATAAGTTTACAAAAACAATATCATCTAAGTTTAACAACTTCTTTTCCCTAACTCCTGTGGCTCGACTGTAAAAGAGTCCCACTCTGACTTTGTTAAGTGCGTTGGAAATACCCATCAAGTAACTTTGGTATCCCGAGCAGCGTAACAGTGAGTCAGAGTGGTCATTTCGTCTACATTAAACACTAAGGGCTTCCAGTCTTAATATATATATATAAAATTATCACCCGTGCTTTTAACATTTCCATAAATTATAACAAAATAACTACAAACAATAACAAACATATTTACACACTTAATTTTAGTTTGGTGAGTTCGAATACACATCTCCAGAGAGAGATTTATATTAAAATTGTCAGTACAACTTAATTTATTGGACTGTGGGATTTTTATTAGGTCAGGTGACCAGATTGATGAACGGCAAAATAAAATATAAACTAAAATGTTAGTTATGGTCAAACAAAGTGTAATCAACGAGACAATAAACTACTATAATTAGATAACATTTTGAATTGATACGGCCAGGATTTAATCCTTCTATTCGACTAGCTCAAAAGATTTTCTACTGTGAACAAAAGAAAGCGAGAAAAAAAAATAACTTCTTTTGACGAACAAAGCCTAAAGTAGAATTGACTTTTTGAATATGTGAATTTACATATTTGTTGAATATTGAATTTATTCTTTTTCTATCTTTAAACATTAAACGTTAAATTAGACAGGGTACGCTTTATATAACAGAAGAATACATTTCTGTCACGTACAAAGTATAAAATTACCTTTAAGTCACCAAATTTAATGCTATACATTGAGTTTTGTAAGTACATAAATTAATGAAAGTATGTAGATGAAGTCAAGACTTTCCTGTGTTCAAGAGAGATTAGATAACACAGTACAATATGCATACTGTTTTAATTGATTTAAAGTACATCAAGACATTATTCCAAACATTTGAGGATACATCGCTTGGGCCCTGCTTTGGTATTGCATCATTTGTATAGGAAACATCATGTTGTTTGGTAGATAAAGAGGAGTACCATGTGAACGAACGATAGCTATATAGGCATTTCAACAACATTTTGTTCTATATCACTTCGTCTTGGTCCTGGTTTACCGTTTATGAAGTCTTTCAGTTCCGATTCGGTAGATACAATGCGTTTATCGTCATTTTGATATGGCTGTTAAGAATATTTTTCCGTCCCATACTGAGGTAGATTTTAGTTTACCCTTTCTCACTGCTTCGCGAGCTAAGAAAGCAACTCTAGTACGTGCCTTGGTACAGTCCTGACTTATTCCGACACCATGTAAATCTGGGATATTTCGAATATTTTTTGTTGTCTTCAAAAATTCAGCACGTTTAATTTCTTGGTGTGCGTGAAGCGGGCAATGATTTGCTTGTGGCCTTCTTTAGTTGGTAAACAATGGGATACGCTAATATCGTTACTTTGTAAATCAACTTCAAGTTTAGATGCTATATCGCACAGAATTTTTGTTGTATCTTCACTCTGGCATAGGGAACCCCACTTGTTCTAATACAACTCTTCCTGCTGTGCTGTTCTAAGTCGTCCACTTTTAAACTCAGTTTGCCTACCTCGTTTATGGATTTTTTCAGTTCAATATTTTCTGTTTTAAGCTTTTCAATCTCAGTAATAAGAGGAACGCTTGAGCTGTTGCAATACATCTGTAAGTCGGATTTTAGTTCATTGCGCAGGTCGTCGAACATTATGGCCTCAACCGCTTGTGCTAGTCTATTAACATCGTTATCTGTAAAAATTGATTGGTTACTTTGTGTAGATGGGTTTGAAACAGGAGGTTGACTTTGTTTAGACATAGTTACAGTTTTAAGTTCGTTATCAGTGATAAGTTTTTTGCTGGAAGGTTTTACGCTGAAGCTTTGACTTTTTCCTGGCGATGGTTCCGTCGAGTGCCTTCTGCGTTTTTGGCTTGAGATAGTTTTTGACATTTTTTGCACACGCATCATAAGGATATTTTTGTTTATATTTCTGTATATAAGTGTATTCTGTGTATTCTGTATGCGTTGCTATCGTTGATATAGTGATTAAGATTATAACACAATATTGACTGCTGTACCCCAATTTTTGACATGTTTACCTATCATGTCTGTTTGTTTTGTTCACACATTGTTGTCAATATATTGGAATTGTATGCGACTGTCATACAGGTGAGAAGTTTAGCTAGCTATACAACCAGGTTTAATCCACCATTTTCCACATTAGGAAATGCCTGTATCAAGTCAGGAATATAATGTTGTTTTTCATTCGTTTGATGTGTTTGGGCTTTTGATTTTGCCATTTGTTAAGGGATTTTCCGTTTTGAATTTTCCTTGGAGTCCGGTCATTTTGTTAATTTACTTTTTGCTATGACAACCTGTTTACTTGTCCTTAAATGTTGAGAAGAATAACATAGAAGGAAGTTTAGAACCAACAACGTCTGAATATCAGTCTGAGAGCAATTGCAATATTTCATATGAACTTTCAAATAAATAATTTCTTTTTGGAGTGGAAAAGGAAAGGAGGACAATGGTTCGTTCGTCAATTCAAAAAACAAGTACAAATATTGCATGGTAATTAAAAAAAATTTTTGTCATAATATTTTTTTATAGAAAATTTTAATATAACATGAAAGATAACTCTAACTGCTTATAACTAATCTTAAATACGCCTTCAATCATTTATTCTATTTTATTTTCAATACACAACATGTATTTGTACAAAAAATTACAAAAAAAAAATAATTCAAAAATACTCAAGGGTTCTTGTTTGGAAAAAACAAAAACCCTCATTCTATATCTACTAAGGTAAACAAAGTATAGATACTGACGACATTGAAAATTGAAATACACAGTATATATATATATATATATATATATATATATATATATATATTTCCTTTTCTAATTTGTGTAGACACATTCAATATATAATATGTTAACACGTTTAACACAAGCTGTATTTTGGTGATATGTGTCGATGGGTTTGCCTTTTGACTAACGTGTACCTTACATTTCCTTTTATTATTAATCAATATGATAATTTAATCTATAGTTGCTTTGTTAAGTTAGTCAGTAAAGTAATTATGACATTTTCTCACGATGCACATATAATGTTATTTGTGATAATAATAGCATGCGTAATTTAATCTTTTTCAAAAATGTAAAGGACCATAAAATTAAACAATAAATATCTCAAGCTATAAACTAGACAATTTCATTTGTTAAATATATCATCATATATATTAAATAGGTCAACAAGAAAACACTATGCATAAGAGGTGAGGGTAAACAAAATTGTAGTTTTGTTGATAAGATGATATGTTATAAACGGATTATAAATGTAGAAAAACTTCTCTTTGCATATTAATTTTAGACTGAAGTTTCTAATATCGTTCTAAAACGTGACTTACTAAATGACAAAAAAAAGACAGAAGTTACCAAGAGGACATCCAAAAAATCATAATTCAAAGAGAAACTGACGAAAAATATGCAATAGACGACGAAACGACAAACAAATCAATACATAAAAACTATAAGACTAAGCCACACGATCCCCACCAAAACTGGGGGTCATCTCAGATGCCAAGGAAGGTTAAGCAGATCAAATTATTGCAATGCATATTATATTCTTTATGAATGTACTGTTATCGTGTTGATCTTAATATCGAATTACATTTTTTTTATCTAGGCACGCTAACACTAACGCTTCACTATCCAGTTATTTTCAATTGTTTATTTTCATTTATATCAGTCTTTAGTTTTCTATGTTGTGTTTTGTGTACTGTTGTTTGTCTGTTTGTCTTTTTCTTTTTTATCCATTGCGTTGTCACTTTATTCTCAACTTATGAGTTTGAATGTCCCTTTGGTATCTTTCGCCTCTCTTTTGTCCAAACGTTTTTTTTATTCTTAAGAATATATTTTATAAATATAAAAATAAGAAGATTTGGTTTGACAGCTATAGGTCATCTTAAAACAGTTCAAACGAGAAAACCAACGGCCTGATTTATATATAAAACAATAAACGAAAAACAAATATGATAACAAACGATAACCACTGAATTTGGCTCCTGACTTGGGACGAAAGTCTAGCATTACATAACTCACTATAGTTCTTCAGGGAAAAATACGCGAAGGAATATGATTATTTAAAGAATACTAATAATCGGGTCGTTTGTTTGTTTATTTTTTTTAATTTTGTGTGTTTTTTACTGCTTTTGTTTGTTGTTTTTCTTAAAGTAGGAGGGAATGATGTACGTTTTTCAAATCTTTAGTTTTCCTCTATATTTTAATCAAGGAAGGCTCACTACGCATGCCTAAATTAGAAAAAAGCCTGGTTTATTTGGGTCAATAACCCTAATGCGCCTCAAATTGAGGAACTCAAAAGTTGTGCGTAAACAAAAAAAATCTGTGTAGTGATATTGGACATGGTTCTATTTTTAACAAGTGACTGAGCTTAACCATAGAATAAATGTGTAAAAACTATGGAGTTATTAAAAGTATTAAAAGTATTAAATTTTCAAAGAACTTATTGTGTGAAAAAGGGATTTTTACCACGAGGAGCCGCATCACAAAAGGATTTTTGGGGTATGCTAATTTACAAAAAAAAATGAATCTCACTTCGTACTCCGAAAATTTAACCACATATGTGAAAATGTCTCAGCTTCGAAACGAGCCATCATACATATCCAAGTTTACGATATGGACTGAGCTACAGAAGAAAACGTTACCATTACCGCCTATGGGAAATCAATTGCGCATATTGAACCATTTACAGATTTATCCCAAAAAATCAGTTTCCTATTCCAATTCTTTAATCAGTGAAGAGTGAACTTTAAATTACATACATGATAAATATTACAACAAAATCTTCAAAATCACAAACAACAGATTTCAATATAAGTAATACAAATTAAAACACAAAGTTTATTTAATCATTATGTAATGAATATTTCAAATTAGCAATAGAGCAATGCACACATAACTTGAATGAAAGCAGAAAGCAGCATAATTTATTCATATACCAGTAGAGTCGTATGGATAACCTGATGAGGAGCATTTGATCCGAATCACCGCAATTATTAATACATTAATTACCATTTTGTTCAGTCATCTCACCCGGCCACGACATAAGATAACATGTGTATTTGTAATAATCTAGACAGTCTAAGAGGGCGATGAGTGGTGGTACAATGTATAAGCTCTTGACGGAAACCAACTAATCTTATGTTGTGTAAATTTTTCGTTCATATGATTATAAACCCGAACATTGTTGGCACACCATGAATATAGGTTAAACATATAAGATCTATAGTTTCTCTCAAAGACACAAAGTCATTGTGTATGATAAAAAATAAAATACTGAATATGTAATTGTTATATAGTCAACCATACAGGAACCAGACTTTGTACCTAGTCCTTTTTAAATATTCCATTAATTCAACTTGTGTGGATTTCTATAAGTTCATGTTGTAATATGTATTAGTGTTGAGTGTGACAGCATATGATTGATCATCATCGTTCCTGACCGGAGTCAGATCCTGGTAGTTAGAATGGTCCAATTCAGTTCCATTTTCATACAGGTTAGTACTACTATGCTTGGAATTGTCCCGAAAATTCTTAAAAATTGACTTGTGTCTGTCAAAAAAATTAAGAAAATCAATGTGAATTAGATTAAGACGACATTATTTTACCCAATTTCAAGCCTCATATATTGATTAAGGAGATACAAATCAAGGTAACAAAAAATAAAAATCGCATAAACTCTAAAAGGAGCGAGACGGGATTTGTCGACTTGAAAAGCGTCTCTTGAAATGCATGTATCACCCGCCATGCAAATCCACACTAAAACAAAAGGACAAACCAACTTCATGTGTTGAGATAGATGTTAGAGATAAGAACTTCTATTTTATGTGTAAGTTATGACGAAGGAAAAACATATAAAAAGTCAAATAACAAAAATACCGAACTCCAAAGAAAATTCAAATTAGAAAGTCAAATGGCAAAATCAAAAACTCAAACACATCAAACGAATGGAAAACAACTGTCATATTCATGACTTGGTAGAGGCATTTCCTTATGTAGAAAATGGTGGATTAAATCTGGTTTTATAGCTAGCTAAACCTCTCACTTGTATGACAGTCGCATAAAATTCCATTATATTGACAACAATGTGTGAACAAAACAAACAGACATAATAGGAAAAATGTCAAAAATAAGGGTACAGCAGTCAACATTGTGCTGTAATCTTAATCACTATAAAAACAAATAAAATATGTCAACAAAGAAAAACAAAATGGCATATAGACAAAGCATATAAGCAAATATGAAAGATAAGAATACAAAAAAAAAAAATGACCACAGCACCACAACACATTAGCGGGATGCATAAGTACCGAGCCACGCCAAAAGGATATTTCCAAAATGGACTACACAGTATAAGGGTTATGTTCTTTTCATTTTCATATATTTTATGATGGTATGATACTAAACCCCTAACGGGAGGGATTGTGCTTGATTTTCATATGATGAAGACATAATCTTTCAATCAGTTTAATTGAGGTCTGGAGCTTGCATGTCAGTAACTGCTAGTAGTCCTTTCTTAATTTATGTATCATTGTCAGTTTGCTTAGTTTCTTCTGTTACCTATTCTGACATTGGACTCGGACTATTTTTAAACTGAGTTTTACTGTGCGTATTGCTGTGTGTTTGTTTATTCTACATTGGCTAGAGGTTTAGGGGAGGGTTGAGATCTCACAAAACATGTTTAACCACGCCGCATTTTTGCGTCTGTCCCAGGTCAGGGGCCTCTGGACTTTGTTAGTCCTGTATGTTTTTTTTTTAATTTTAGTTCATTTATATGTTTCGGAGTTTAGTGTGACGTCCATTTTCACTGAACTAGTACACATTTTTGTTTAGGGGCAAGCTGAAGCCCGCCTCCGGATTCGGGATTTCCTCGCTGTGTTGAAGACCCATTGGTGGCCTTGGGCTGTTTTCTGCTCTTTGGTCGGGTTGTTGTCTCTTAGACACATTCCCCATTTCCATTCTCAATTTTAGTAAAGGTTAATAATTTACAACGACAAATAAGAGAACACTATTACACGTAATTAAGATGATAAACAACGTCAGTACCTATAATTTATACTTCAAGACCAACATGTATTATTTGTGAAGTTGATACGGAATATTTATCAACAAGGTCTTGGTATCCTCCGATGAACTTTTTTTAAAAAAAGGACGAGACGTTATTTGACATAACAATGGTTCATCAACTTTCTGCTCAGACACTGGTGACTTTTTATAAAGTCTGGGTATCAGCTGCAAGCTCTTTACTACCGAATGAGTTGGAAAATGTATATCCCATATGCAGGTGAAGATAGTATATTGCTACTAAGGTGGGGGAAATTGATAATTTCAAAATTAAAATCGTCTCATTTGTCATAGATTCTGGTACTGAAATGACCGCTTATGTCAAATTCGAGGTATAAGTCTAAAAATGAGGTGGAGGAAGCCGTATCTGTTGTTTCTTTAATTTCTAGTTCTGGAGGATATATTAATGGAACCCAATCAGAAATAATACACTCAAGAGTAGTTTGGGCATCAAGTTTTTATCATGACGATGAATTATAAAAAAAGAACCAATGGTTATCTCCACCGTAGTTTTACTAAATTTTCGTGATCTGTTGTTGCCGATAGGTTTGGGGTTATACCTTGGCCTGCTTTCCATTTACAACACATTGTCTGCCGCGATGTCAACTGACCATATAACGTGATAAAATTGGTATAGCGTGGTTGGGTTTTGTAAATTGATATCTGCCAAAAATCAGTCCCTTTTCTATGCCAGTGAGACGGACCAGACAAATGAAAATAAAAATGTTACGTTACTTAATCAATCTCACTTTGACCAACTACTATCACAGTACTCCAGAATTCATTGATTCTTTTGAAAACAAAGTCAATTTACTGACGTCATTCGTCAACCGAACATGACTTATGGCACACCTTACACAAAACATCCGTAACCAGTATCCGTAGCGGATAAATTACTACCACTGATATGATTACAATAGCCTCTACTAGTTGTAGTCATAATTATCATTATTATAATAAAAAATAGTAATAATAACCATAAAATCTATCATTTTTATGAAACTTAATGAGATTTATTAAGTTAGTTATTTGCGAATCTTTTTTAAACGACGATACTATTTTGCAGAGATACTTGGCTTGCAGTACTACACAAATATATTAGTGAAAAAAAAACAGCTAATAGTCATATCAAAAGTACTAATTTGATACCAAAAGTGCAATGAGTAAAAACTGAGAGAATCGCATGCACTTCAAAATGATACTAGATGTGTTAATAGGATAAGCGTCTCCTAATGTGCATGGATCACCCGCCATGGGAATCAACACAATAATTCATATTGATTGTCAATTTCAGTTGTTCTTTCTCATAAGCGTTTGTGTAAGGATCATATCCATGCTAGTCAAATCGATATAGTGTGAAACATAAAAGAGCGTACTGTATTAGCTGAGGCATGAAAACGTCATAGGATTGAGCAGAGAATGTGTCACTGCTGAGCATTTGAAAATTGACAATGGGAAAGTTGAAATCATCACGTTTGTCATGGGTTCTAGTTTAAAGTCCATATGTGCCACTATAGAGGAAAAGATTAAGATTTGAAGCAGACATTCTATTTGGTAATATCCCTTATTTCAAAATCACCGGGATATATGAGACGCAAGCATGCACTGAAATTTGGAAAGAAAGGCAAAAAAAAAGGGAAAACGACAACGGTCAATAAATCTTTAAAGACTAATTAGGTGACATGGAAGGATCAGCGGACTTACTCTACTAATTGAACACGTTGAAGATAACGGAGTTATTATCATTTATTGTTCCCCAACATTATCACTTTTGAGTACCAGATTTAGTAAATATATTTCTACTTCCATTATTACATAACATACCTTAATTGATAAAACATTGTGAACGCTACAACCATAACAATCACAACAGCACATAATGAACCAGCAAACACTTCGACTGAAAGAACACATTGTTTTAACTATTTTGAAAGATAAAAAAAGTATAAAAAATGTGATTAGCTTTTTTTTCAATGTAAATTCTAAATTCTTCCGTTTTAGTATTGTATTTTTAACGGTATTAAATTATCATTTCTATACATTTTCTGATTTCATGATAAAATCGGCAAAAGCAGAGAATATATATAAGACGACAGATAACATTATGTTTGTCGAGGTTCCACCAGAAGCTACTGTAACTTCTTCAATAGCAAATAAAAGAAAAAGAAGGGAAGTACGGTTTTAAAAAAGAAGGTGAACAAAAGTGGGGTAGAACGTTAAAAAACATTCTGTATGTGCCTGTCCCAAGTGAGTAGCCTTTAATTCGATCATTGTCGTTGGTTGCTGTTTGTCATAATTGTTTTTCGTTTATTGTTTTGTTATAAATCAGACCGTTGGGTTTCTCGTTTAGATTCGTTTTCCTTATCCATTTGGAGGGTTGATAGAGGGGAGAATTAACATAAGGAAAAAGATAATACATATATATTGTTATTAACTGGAGATCTGTATTAACGGACAAGCATGGATTAAAAAAGAATAAAAATTGAAATGTTTGGTAGATTATGTATTAAGTGTGACGAGTATATTTATTGTTTTTATTTAGTTAATACTAGTAGCATTTGCCCCTCCAACGTCCTGTGTAAATCTTAGTTTGCATACTGAATATCGATTGATCAAATATCATGTTGGAGTAGTGGTTGTTTTATACACAAATCCCCTTTATGTTATCAGAAAATTCGTCCATCTTAAAAGTGTTGTGAACTTAATGAGAGGGCGTTGAAGCCTGTAGGAAAAAATGTAATTACACCAATCTATGAAATTATGCGTTTGCATTAATTTCATTGAATATAAAATGCATAATTTAAGTACGAAAAACTGACAGGGACATTCTATTAAAATATTCCATTTTGGCAGATCAATCCAAATAAACCCATCATAGATACCAAGATTGAATTTGTGTACGCCAGACACGCGTTTCGTCTCAAAAAGACTCATCGATGACGCTCGAATAAAAAAGTAAAAAATGCCAAACAAAGTACGAAGTTGAAGAGCATGGAGGACCAAATATTCCTAAAAGTTTTGCCAAATACAGCTACATGTAAGGTACTCTATTCCTGGGGTAAGAAATCCTTAGTAATTCGAAAATGTCAAAGTTTTGTAACCGGTTGATTTATATTTATGACCATATAAATGATAATTCATGTCAACATAGAAGTCCTGAACTTGACATTACGAAATGTTACCAGTATTTCGTATTAAGGATTTATGGTTGTAGAAAGTGAGTTCACATGCTGCTCTTATCACTTTTATTTATGTTTTTATACACTGGTCCTGATTGTAAAGGTTATATGTGGTAAATAAAATTTGAATATCTTTTAGCGATATTTTGGTAAAGGCTAGATACTGCAATAGACTATAATTATTAGCATATATTTTTAAATACCGATTGCTGCAAATTAGCGTTTCGATAAATGATAGAGTTATAGTGATGTTACAGGTTCAAATATCTGTAGTCCCGAACACGAAATAACAACTATTGAATTGTGAATAACAAACATTACATAGTACTAAAAACATTTTTCTTTCAGGATGAAACTCTACATTAAAGACTCGCAAACAATCTTAAGTGATACACATTTCAGTATTACCTATCGTAAGATTTTTATTGAAGAGGGACGAAAGATACCAGAGGGACAGTCAAACTCATAGATCGAAAACAAACTGACAACGCCATGGCCAAAAATAAAAAGACAAATAGTACAGATGACACAACATAGAAAACCAAAGACTAAGCAACACGAACCCCACCAAAAACTGGGGGTGATCTCAGGTGCTCCGGAAGGGTAAGCAGATCCTGTTCCACGTGAAAATAGTCGCTGGGCACTATTTCCATATTTTCACACATGATTGTTATCCATTTACACATTATTCATATTTTTATGCCAAACATAGTATTTCTAACCTGAAATCCTCTTTTGTTGTGTGTCTTCTGTAAATTAAAGAGTAAACATATATAGCATACGTATTAAAAATTAAAAAAACAAACAACAAAAAGAACTTAAATCATTGGACACAAAAGAGGCGTAAGTAACAAAAGGGATATTCAAAGTCATAAAGATACCAAAGTGACAATATCATTAGACAAATTATCATCATTCTCATCACAATCATTATTATTATCGTTATCATCATCATTCAGACACAAATACATAAATTAAAACGACATGTTAAAAGGACGCATATGCAGTAGCATTTTACTAGTTTTTGTATTGATAATATGTATCCAGAGAGGGTAATACCTGCCGCACTACGTACATCATGTTAACCAAATAATTACATGGCCAGTCATAATTGTTCCTTTTTTCTATAAATATATAGAAAAATATTTTATCTTTCTTGTATATGCATTTCAAGAAGCATGCGTGTATTTGATTAATTGTTATACACTGTAAGAAGATTATCTGATGAGGGCAATTCTATGTTTCGACATGAAGTCAATTTTTTTTTTTCGTAAAAGCGATGCTTGTCTGATAATAGAGAATTTGTTCTTGAAAAGTAATTGCTTTATGATAAAAGTTTCAAATGGAATATTCTGGACCATTATTTCCACTAGAAAATCTTTTAAATATTTACTTTTGATTGAATACACGATATTGAATGTCAGTTCCAAAAATGAACAAATGTCATATCGTTGTTTACAAAAGTCGTATAGCTGTGATTTCTAGGTCAGTGTGATTCATAATTCAACCACGTATACTTTATTCCAAACATAGAGACATTATAAGTTGAAAGAATTTATTTTGTCAAACTTTGTTCCATATTTCATATAAAAGATTGACAAACACAGTTGGGTTTTTTTTAAATTTTAGTGCAGCTTTTGCCTTAAACATACTAGATTTTAGTTGTTAATGTGTTCTCGTATTCAGTTTTAAAGTTCTTTCACTCTGTAACGGTATTGTCATGTGTCATGTGTCAAAGTACACCAGAACAAAGAAACTTTCATATTTCGTCATGAATAAGGGTTTGTGGGTAACAAGACATTTCGGCACCCAGACAAATCGGCACCCAAGTCCGAAGACATTTCGGCATCCATTTTGCACATTTCGGGATCCGTACATTTCGGGACCAAGACAATTCGCGATCGGCACCTCATTTTTTTAAACATATATATTAGGAAAAATAAAAGAATTGTTACAGTAATATTATAATCCGTAGATAAAATATGCAGTACAAAATTTGAAATCATCATTTAATTAAATCCTAAATGATTGTGTATGAAAAGTAAAACATCATTTAATTAAATCATAATTGATAGTTATTTATGACGGTGTTTGAATAAACATCATTTAATTAAATCATAATTAATTGTAGTTATGCATTAATCAGTATTTTATGTATAAATCTGATAATTTCTCAAAAGAGACAAATGAGAGATCAAAAGTGTATAGCTTGTGTTTCAGCTTGTGTTCTCGTTTCATCCTTACATCTGTAAAGACAACACATTACCTGAAAACTATATTTTATTTTTTTAATATTAAAAGCCATAAACATAAAAGCGCGTGCAACCCATAATAATAAAAACCAAGAAACATATATAAAGGTCAACACTTTTGAATACCCTTTCTTAAACAATGTCAGACGACAGTTGTATACAGTGCCACAATGTTGTCCGCCCTAGACAGGAAGCTTTACAATGTGGTCGCTGTCAAAAGTGGCAACATAGAACATGCAACACTGGTAAGTGGCTTTTAGATATTTTTAGTTATTATATAAATTGTTATAAAATAGGTAGCCCCAATTCTCTTTTTATACTTTTCATTTCCATACAGGAGCCAATTCCGATAGAGCTAGAAGCATTTGAACATAAGTGAGTAAAAGGAAATTTTTCATCATTGCCAAAAATAACAGTAATATTAGAAATCCCCTTATAAATGCAATTAAATTATTTGTTGTATTGTTATAAATGTCTTGTATGTCGGTTAAAAGCTCATTAGAGCTTATGTTGTCTTTGTTTGTATACTTTGCCGACTCTAAATAAAGCTTATTTATTATTATTTATTATATTTATTATCTATAAACTGTTGAATATAATTATAATAAATATAATTAATAAATATCATTATTATGCTACATGAGTTTTATTGATTTAGAATACTATCGGAATAGAACTATGCATTACATTAAAACTAGTACATGAATGGTGAAATCTATAAAATAAATGTTCATGTATCAGGAAAAAGAATACACACAAATAAGACAGCTACCCAAATGACTAAGCTGCAAAACAGTCTTCACAAATAAACAACAAAAAGAATAAACCACTTCATAAGATACTTCTTCGAAGATACCATATACAATATTGACAATAATGTCATCAATAGTGCAGGAATTAAATTGGTAATTTGTAAAAACAGTCGAACATAATTGCTATATTAACACTAAACTTGTAAATTGAGTTCATACCCACATACATATATCAGTGCCAGGTAATTTTTATTTTTGGTTCACTATATTTTGATCAAGGATAAAATAATTGATTTTATCTTTATAAGGTGCCGATTTGTCTATGTGCCGATTTGTCTGGGTGCCGAAGTGTCTTCCTCAGGTGCCGATTTGTCCGGATGTCGATTTGTCTGGGTACCGAACTGTTTAGAATTCTTGTTTGTGAACTAACATACACTTATTCATTTATAAAATTGAAAATGTATCAGGTTTAAACAAGATACATCTATAAATGTTCCCTTCACAGTGATCCATATCTATCACCGAAAGTTTTTCATCAACGGATTTAACAGGAGTGAGTGGCGACAAGGACTGCTTTAGACTTACAGAGTATCTGAGATAAACCATAGTGTGTTGGTTGGGCTCATGTTGTTCAATGTGTTGTAGTTTGCGAAATCTAAAACGGATATGAATGTTTCGAATAACCCTCTCGGAAAAGACATAAAATATGACCAGTTGTACATGCGCACGTAGATTCAATGTAATGCAATTGTACTGTCTGCTTTTGGGGGGCGTTTGATATGTGCTTGCCCCCATGGTATATTTTCCGTTTCTTCATTTGCACTACTTTTTTAATTACTTGCCATAAACATTTAAGACTAACAATTAAGCCTGAGATTCTTTAATACACGTATCTCTGCCAAATCATTGCAGAAGATGAAAATAACCAACATATTACTTTGTGCTTATGTTCAAAAGGTATAATACACAGATATAATAAAGGAACAGAGTTCCAACGTCCCCCGCGTTGCACATATTTTATCTTTCCACGGTACAAGGGCAATAACTAAAAAATACACTTTTTTTTATTCTATGAAATTGTTCATAAATATCTTAGAGAAATGATTACTTCAGAACAAATTCAATCTGATTTCCGATATAATTAAAATATCCAAGGGGCGTAACTCATTAAAAATATTTGATCAACACTAATTTTCCAAAGTGTCAAAGACATTGCTGATATAAACCTATGATATCAGTTTTATAAAATTCTGGCAAGAAATGTACACATGAGAGCGTTCATGATGCAATTTTCCATCAAATTAATGTTTCCAAGGGGCATGATACCTCTTTTAAGAATAATTAATCGGCACAGATTTTCAAAATCATCTAAGACATTGTTGATATAAACCTATTATATAAATTTCATAAAAATCTGGCATGAAGTGTACACATGAGAGCACTCACAAGGCAATTTTTCATATAATTAATATTTCCAAGGGCATAACTCTTTTAAAAATAATTGATCGGCACAGATTTTTGAACTTGTCCAAGACATCTCTGATATAAATCTATAATATAAGTTTCAAAAATCAAAAAAATCTTGCAAGAATTGTACAAGTGAGAGCGCTAACGATGCAATTTTTCATATAATTAATGTTTACAAGGGGCATACCAAGACATTGTTGATATAAACCTATTATATAAATTTCATAAACAATCTGGCATGAATTGTACACAAGAGAGCACTCACAAGGCAATTGTTCATATAATTAATATTTCCAAGGGCATAACTCTTTTAAAAATAATTGATCGGCACAGATTTTCGAACTTGTCCAAGACATCGCTGATATAAACCTATAATATAAGTTTCAAAATAATCTGGAAAGAATTGTACAAGTGAGAGCGCTAACGATGCAATTTTTCATATAATTAATATTTACAAGGGGCATAACTCTTTTAAAAAATTGATCGGCACAGATTTTCGAACTCGTCATAGATATTACTGATATAAACCTACAATATACGTTTCATAAAAATCTGTCAACAATTGTTGACATACCTGATATAAACAAACAATATAAGTTTCATAGAAATCTGGCAACAATTGTTAAAAATAATTGATCGGCAAAGATTTTCGAACTTGTCCAAGACATCGCTGATGTAAACCTACAATATAAGTTTCAAAAAATACTGGCAAGAATTCTACACCTAAGAGCGCTAACGATGCAATTTTTCATATAATTAATGTTTTCAAGCGGCATAACTCTTATTCAAAAAGTTCATCGGCACTGATTTTCGAATTCGTCCGAGACATTGCTGATATAAACCTATGATATAAGTTTAATAAAAATCTGCCAAGAATTCATGTGAGAGGGCTAACAAGACCAGACGGACAGACGCCCTGTATTTCTATGTCCCTCCGAAACGCGTTGCGCGGGGGACAACAATGATATATATGTATATGCAAATATAATTCTATGTATTTCAAAAGTGTATACTAGAATTCTTGAACAACCCTCTGCACAATATGCATATGGTCATCCTTATTATGATCTACACAAGATCCTTTTACCTAGTTTACACATTAAAGCAGGATGAATTAATGATTAATTGACGATTGATTGTTGGTTGCGTACGTCCAGTGGCAAATATTTCACGCATGTTTAGTGCGAAGCAGGAGGAATGACGAGAGCCATGATTTGACCCAGAAAATATCTAGTATAGTAAAGTCAGTCAAGCCATTAAAAATTAATGTTATTAATAAATGAACAGGCTGGTAGAATCTGAACATTTTTGAACAAAAACGTCTCTTGTGACGTCGCTGTGACGTCATTTGCATAACGAATTGACATATCTGTCCGAAAATGAACATTTAACATTTAATTTTCGCTACAAATAGATATGAGCAACAGCCGTACCTAAGCAGATATTTTACACACATATCCATCTTTGTAGAATACATCTTGAAGCACAACACTTTTTTGGGTAAAGCTGATGCGCATATCTTATATTGCTGCGAGGATCTCAAAACGAGTTTATGCAGTTTGTTTACCAAATGGAAGAAGTGAAATTACTCTTAGATCTTTACTTTGTGTCATTTATCTTGTTATGTGTACTGTTTCGAAGAGTCAAACTCTTCAAACCGATTTTTTACAGTTTGTTGTAAGTTGTTCTGTTACCCAAAAGTCACAGGTAAGTGATGGGTAAACAAGTCACAAAGTTAAGATGTTTTAAAGTGCCAGTCTATGTAAGAATCAGGATATTTAGAAAAATTTCAAAACATGGCAGAAAATACCCCACCGATCTAACCATCGTAGCGGATCGATATTCCCCACTTTATACACAGCCAAGCTCATAAATATACGATTACGATTAATTGTTTTCAAAACATTTTAAATATTTGTTCATAAACTATGACAAAGAATCACTAATAATTTATCAGGGTGATCTAAGATAATCTTAGGTAAACACTCGTGGAAAAAAATGTCATAAATCAATACAGTGTCCAGTGACCGGAATTTTAGTTACCGGTGTGTTGTCAGATTAACTCTTCAATCCATTTAAATCCCCGAGGTCATGTTTTGACATATGTGTATTAACTCGAGATAAATAATGAATTTTGAATGCTTTTGTTAACCTTGGGAGCGTAAATTTAGTTCGAGTCAACCGAAATTTCGACTCATCAGTAGTCGAAATACATATATTTATATGGAACAAAGTTCGGGACCACGAGAAAACATCGACTCATCCGAAATTTCGATTCAATCGAGTTCGAGACAACGAGAGTTAACTGAGATAGCCTTAATTGTTAAATTCTAGTGCATGTCAACTAAATTATATCTTGAATTACCAGAACAGGAAAAGGAAACGAATGTTATATTCGTGCACCATTATACAATTTGAACATAAATTAATGTCAACTTGAGTGAGTTTTTGTTTGTCATGTTTTTACCACTGCCTGATTCTTAGGCAGATTGGCACTTTAAAAACCGCTATATTCTATACGCGACTACCGCAAGCCAAGAACCAGTTGTTATCGCTTTATTTAATTGCTGTCTGCGGTAATATATAAGGCTTACTAAATGGTTTGGGTTTTGCTCACGGTTGAATGATCGCTCCGATTTTGTTCATTCGATTCTGTATACTGTCTCATAGCCAATCATACAACATCGCCTTATATCGCAATTGGGGTCATAGTTTAATATAACCCTTTAAAGATTTCTTAAGATTATTTAATGTTACTTTACTATGAAAAAGTATTTTGTGCGTAATAAAGGTTTACTATTATTTATGAAACACAATAGCTAGTATATATAGAACAATATTACTTGCCTGCTGAAGATGCCTTCGTTGTTTCAGGAATTCCTGTAGAAGACATGATATCAGGGTTTACTAGCGATGATTCTGTTGTTGCATAGATTACCGAAGATACTGGGAAAACAATGTCTGTGGAAGATAATTCTGTTTCAGGATTTTGTGTTGATAAAGGAAAATCAATGAAAGTTGAAAATAATTCTGTCTCGGGATTTTTTGTTGAGAGAGAAAAATCAATGGATTTCAAAGGTGAAGATAGATCTGAAGTTTTTGAATTTTCCTGAGATAGAAGGAAATCAATGCTTGTTGTTAAAATGTCTTTTCTGCTAGAATTTCCCATAAATGACGGAAGAACACTAGTTGTGACTGAAGAAAATTCGACCAATGTAGTCGGAACCATCGTTGGTACATTTATGTTTGTTGATGATACTTCTGATGTTACCAATATATCCTGAGTTGTCACATATGTCGTATTATATATAAATGATTCAAATGTTGAATCAGTCACAGCAGTAAAATACCAACAAACTATTGGTTTAAAACAACATGACGAATAAATGAAAATAAACATACTGAATAACGGAAACGGAAACATGTTTTAACGTATGTTAACAGTCATCCGTGAATAATATACTATGAGGTTTATGTCTTTGTGATATTCCCCCTCTTTTTGTTGTTCTCGTTCAATTTTTTACACTTGTAAATATATTCTTATCAGCACTTTTACACATCCTAGCATTTGTTTAAATTGTGAAGTTATAAGATATTGCTTAAAAAATGACGTTTCCTTACGATGCCCCTGAGTGAACAATTTTTCCCACCTAAATAAGTGAAAATGATATCGTAAACTAACAATAATCTATAAATAAACCTTTCAAACAAGGTATATAAAATACTTGCACCCGGTAGTGTGTCCTAAAATAAGAACAGAAACTTAAAACCTTATTTGGTAAGTATAGGTAAGTATCATAAGAGGGATAAGTAACAAATAGACTATTTTCATAATACCGACTTTTGACTCCGGATTATATAATTTGTCGACTGGTTACCTTGGACATCATGGTACCAAGTCAGGTAAGAGCAAGCTAAAGAAGTAAAACCAAGCGTTCAATCGGTACAATTTTGGGGGAAAATTACCTGCTTAACATTTTTTTTTCACCACAAAATCATCGGAAAACAATAAACTTTCCCCTCAAATTACACCGATTATATGTTTGATATTACTTATTTTGGTTGCTCTTACTTGACCGAGTACCATGATGTCCAAGGTAACCAGTCGACAAATTATATAATCCGGAGTCAAAAGTCGGTAATATGAAAATAGTCTATTACATTGTTATTGCTAAAGATTTACAGACTGTGTTAGGCATAAATTCGGATTTTCCGAGGTTATATTTCCATTTATATCCCCCACATGTTGGTGATATATCTGTTCTAGATACCAAACTTTTTTTCTCTCTTCTTAAAGACCAAGAAGATCGGACATGGATGTATTGTCCATTAACGTTAACTGCTATTATATATGTCATAAATCCTGTAACAAGACAATGTACCGAATTTCACAGTTATAAAATGAAAGGAGAGAAAAACGCAAAAAAACTTCTGTCTCAAAACAATTGACTTCTTAAAAAATGACATATACCTTTTGAATGTATACGTCCTCTTCATATCATCCGCCTCGTTTTCACAACTTTATATATGTAAAGAAATGGATAAAGGTATCGATTGCGAACTTTATTTTTTCATGAGCAGCATCATCATTAAAATGTAAGTAGTTCACAGTAGTTCACAGTATTCATTATTTTGTCACTTTTATACAATCCTAAGACTCTTTTTTCCTATGAAGTATTTGAAATTACATCGAGTTAACATATGAACAAAAATATTAGAAACATTAACAACAGCGACTTTGATTACAAAATAATAACAGCAACAGCAAATTAATAGTCCTAATTAACAATAAGTGTAAGCCTTATTTGGTACTAATGCACAATTGAAAAGGATTTGGCAAGCATTTTGTCGATTCCTTGATGAAATGTACTCCACGATAAAGTACTAATCAAGAAGACTATGAATACAAAGGTATGCAATATGAAGTCAAAACTAAAAAAATAACCTCATTCATCCGAATCGCTCTTCTGGATCCAACCACACTAGGAACATCCATAGCCAAACATAGAGGTAATCCCGTAACAGTGTGCTATGGAACGCCGACACTGTCTTATTATGACATTTCTCATTATATGATGTTCATTTGCCATTATATGATGTCATTTTACCCTTATATGATGTGCAAATGACATTATATGATGTGCACTTATCCTTATATGATGTACACTTGTCATTATGTGATGTGAACTTGTCCTTATATGATGTACACTTGTCATTATATGATGTGAAGTTGTCCTTATATGCTGTCCAAACACATTTATATGAGGTGCAAACATCTTTATATCATGTCCACAATTCATTAAATGATGTGCTTTTTCCATTATATTATGTGATTGAGTCCTTATATTATGTGATGCTTTCCTTATACGATGTAGAAACGGCATTATGTGATGTGCAATCACCTTTATACGATATGCTATCACCTTTATACGATATGCAATCACCTTTATATGATGACAATTTGACATTATCTGATGTGCAAATTATATTATATGATGTGCAAATTATATTATATGATGTGCAAATTATCTTATATGATGTGCAAATGGTCTTATATGATGTGCAAATTATCTTATATCATGTACAGATGTCTTTATATTATGTGCAAACTTCTTTATATGATGTGAACTTATCCTTATGTTATGTGCTAACATCGTTATATGGTGTGGTTCGGTTTACATCTTTATATGATGTCAGAACATCATTATCATGATGTCGAAACATCATTATAATGATGTGCATTCATCGTCCTGATGGTCAATGAACATGATTACGATTAAAGCGATTACTCACTACGTCAGAACTGATTCCGATCTGCTTCTGCGGAGTAACAATTAATCAGGCTCAAATTTTTAGCTGTCGTTTGGAAAATAGTTGAGATTTAAAAAGAGGTAAACCTTGGCATATTAGTACCTCGTTTTTAAGATGTAAATAAATCACACCTGATATTGTTGGAAAAATGTCAAAATATATGAATTGCAACGTTTTGTTTTAATCGATTGGTCTAAAATAATAAACATACGGAGTCTGCAATAATGAACATACGGTTAAAATGATTAAATTTAAGAAATAATTCTTTTATTTCATGCTCTATGCTCATTTTAACAAGGGAGGGCATTATATTTGTCAATTTCTGTACACCATAAAAAAAATAATCTATAAGAAGTTAATACACGAATTTCTAGTATGTTCATTAATGTAAATTTTGCCTTGCTGATTATCTTAGCTGCTCGAGTTTCTCTTTATATATTCTCAAGATAGACACAAAAGAATGGGAAAAATCGGACTTTGATAGGGTAATGGCTTATATAAGGGACCAGTCATTTGTAACCCCAAAAAGAGGGATAGGAAGAAATAAAAGGGGCCTTTAATTTCATCATGTTTTTAAAGGAAAGGTGCATTCAATTTTATATAGTTATAGATTTGCGGTATAATGTTATGGCAATGTCTTCAAAATCCGTAGGCATCAATTTTTACGCCTGGTTCCGCTCGCCTCAATTGTTAAAACCTGAATCCTTAGTTTCAACAATTTCACTAGCAGAAAATTTTTCATCTGAAGCTAATATCGAATGAAGGTGTGGTAAATATTAATGAGACCATAACCGGCAAATCCAAATTAAGTTCGTGAAGTCGCAAACAACTTCCACACTTGAAGTTCTAGATTCACTACTGACGCAATATTTTAAACTTATAATGCATTTAGAACCTTAATACGATTTTTTTGTTATTACGAACAAAAGTATTGAAAATGTGTGTATGTGCGTTTGTGTGTAATTGTCCGGTGGTGGCTTTTTTTTTGGGAAGAACGGGGGGGGGGGGGGGGTGAAGTTTGTAGGTCTTTGGAAAAGGGGGTATTTATTGACTGTTTTTCCTTCTTCAAGGTGTAGACTTGAAATAAAATAAGAGAAATTCCTATGTTTCCTCACACGTCCCCACCCCCAATGAAAGAAAATCACCATAATTATTACTTATTTATTTATTTTAACATTCCGATGTATTGTTACCAAAGAGATTTCTACTTACGTAGCTTTCGTTTTTGACTGGTAACCGATTTATAAATACGGACATTTTAGAGTGCAACATAACATTCCTTATCGCTTGTTATAAGTTTATTTCTTCAATGAATACTCATAAAAAAAAATTTTTTTAGATCACAGATTAATAATATATAATTTGTACCACTACAATATAATAGTTATTACGGTGAGGTTGAATTCCCGAACATTTATTCATCATGCACGCACGAACTTGTCTCAGAAAAAAAATATATCTCTGTACATTAACATTACTTTCAGGTACAGATACGATTTTTTTCTGGGACAAGTGCTTGTGACCATCCACAAGAATTTGCGGTCATCCGATGATCAGTACTTCACTACTTTGATTATATCTGTTCTTGTCTATACCAGTTTTCAAGAAAAGGTTTATCTATAGATAAGTTATCAAGATAATAGCCAATAAAACAACAAAACTCTGAAGAGCCAAAATTGCCCAAAAAGGACCTTTACTATAGAGTTTACCTAGACACATTGCACTATTTGTTTTTTTTAAATCTATTATAGTTTCCAGGATAAACGCAAAATATTAAAAGCCGCTGCCGTAAATCTTCTGCCGTGTGTTCAAGCTTTGCTTACGCCGATCTGAAAACGCTCAATTCAAGACCAATGGGATTCTCTGGTTTTGTCGGATTGATCCACACCTTCAAAAATATGAAGGTTGAAATTTTATTGGCTGATGTAATATTAACCAGGACAGAAAGTAAAACGAAGTGTTGTCAGATCCTTGTAACCAAAGCTTAGACAGATGACCTGTACATTATATATTAATCATTTGTTAGACACCGACTGTAGTGTGGGTAGGAGCACGTGTATTTCCTTGATGGACTTTAATAAAAAAGAACATGGTTATTTTTTTTTAAATTTCATTATTGTTTTATTTTTCCCTGATTTAAAATGGAAACAAACTATTTCGCTCCCCTTCTGAAAATATAAAATCTCTTTCAAGAAATTTGGAATCAAACATTTTCCAAAATATATGCACGAAAACATAATAAAAAGCTGAAAGCAAATGAAAAACACCGAGTTGAAGTTCATTCCATATCTCCTTTAAAGCATTTCGGATGAAAGAGATGGGCGCTCGCTGGTCGAGTGGTGTGAATAGTCGAACTACTGTATCACTTGTCTGTCGACACTTAGGTGTGTGAGTTCGAATACCGCATGTGGCAGGTAAGCTCGACTCCTATCTTAATTGACCAGAATTGTCAGTTTTCCAAACGAAGGTTGGGTGGTCTCTCTGGGAACTTCGGCTTCCTCCACCAATATAAACTCACCGCCACGAAATAGCATGAAAGTGTTGAAAGTGGCGGTAAATATAAATCAATCAACAAATTAATCAATCAATCATCCATACCGGTATAATTATGGCCTCTAAATCTATATCTTTAATCTCATAAAGTCAATGTATGACATCAGTACAGAGATAACAATAATAACTTTACAATATATACAAAACAAGAGAGAGAGGTTTCAAAAGTCTTTAGTCAGGAAGTATAAAAAATTTAAGATATATTTCTAATTCTCTTTCCAGATCTTCTGGTATAGTTCTGTTAAGTCCTGTAATATTTTTACTAACTAAGAATTTTTTTTAGTCAATCAAAAGTAAAGAAAATAGAAAAGGTGATAAGTTTACTCCTTGTCGAACACCATTTTCACAAACAAGCAAAGTATTTCGAATTATAATTACTAGAAGATGCCAGCGAAAGCGCGGAACAATTGGGCAAGTGTTGAAACAAAGAGTGTGGACACAGTAATAAGGTGGACACAGTAAGGATTTGGACACGTTTAATGCATTTAATTCTTTTTCTTTAAAGAGACGAAAACGAGGAACATAATGCAAAAGACGGGCATCACCCCATTCATCTTTGTTGGAAAATAAAAATATCAAATACCCTAAATTGAAAAAATGTGGCAAATTGTGATTTTCAGTGGGTTTTTTTCCTTTTAACTAAATAACCGTATGAACTACGTAGAATCCTTTGACATTACCGAAAAGGATCAAAATGAGTACACAATGAAAAAAATCCCATCTAATCGGATGAAAAATAAAATCCAAAACACTTCACCAGGAATCAACCCCTCTGTATCTCAGAAACCGTTGACGCCACTCCAAATCTGTTGTCATACTTAAGTTGCAGAATTTTATTAGCAATTAAAAAAATCTTCATTAAAATAAGTTGAAAATAAACAATCTGTATATACAAATATGTGAACATTCCCCAACCTGACCATTTCGCATTTCGCGGGCAGTACGTGGACTAAGCATGCGGTCTCCAAATTTGCATATTTTGGCTTTTTCTGTGGAAAAAAGATTGTTTCAAAGACAAATTAAGGAAGTACAAAACACTACATGTATACGTCATATCACAAATATTTCCGACTTTGTATGGTTTTGTAGGAGTAACACTACATTATACATCTTACCATTTATATTATTCAATAACATTTTATAAAACAAACCATCTCGCCATATTATGCACGAGTAGATAATTTTATAGCTATTGTTGTGAAATATTTTTAAAACTGACTGTGAGTTCAATGGTGCATTTTGCAATGAATAGAAATAAGAAGATGTGGTATGAGAGCCAATGAGAAAACTCTCCATCCAAGTCATAATTTGTAAGAGTAAACAATCATATGTCAAAGTACGACCTTCAACACGTAGCATTTGCTTAACCCAAATAGAAAGCTATAAAGAGCCTCAAAATTTGTTTTATCAAATATCGCCACAGCCGCAAATTTCTCCAATTAGCTCCTGTATTAATTGATCTTAATCTTCCTCCGAAATGTTTGAAACGTTGATTTTGTTAAATTGCATTGTCTCATTTTTCCTATTTATTGCACTCTCGCTAGCGATAGACATATATTTGAGCTGGGTTTATAGTTTACAGAAGCAGATCGGAATCAGTTATGACGTAGACAGTAATCATTCTAATCGTAATCATGTTCATTGACCATAACGACGATGAAAGCACATCATAAAATGACGTTTCGACATCATATAATGAAGTAAACCAAACCACATCATATAAGATTACAAGCACATAATATAATGACACAACCACATCATATAAAGATATTTGCACATAATATAATGGTAACTGCACATCATATAATGATATGTACACATCATATAAGTATATCTGCACATCATATAAATATATTTGCACATCATATAAGGATCTTTGCACATAATATAAGTACATTTGCACATCATATAAGAATGTTTGCACATCATATAAAAATGTTTGCACATCATATAAGAATGTTTGCACATCATATAAGTACATTCGCACATCATATAAGTACATTTGCACATCATATAAGTATATTTGCACATCATATAAGTATATAAGCACATCATATAAAGTATATATGCACATCATATAAGTATATAAGCACATCATATAAGTATGTTTGCACATCATATAATGATGTTTGCACATCATATAATGATGTTTGCACATCATATAAGGATGTTTGCACATCATATAAAGGTGTTTGCACATCATATAATGACAAGTGTACATCATATAAAGGTAAATGCACATCATATAATGAAAATGGTTATAACAAGACAGTGTTGGCGTTCCATAGTTGTCGTTTGTTGATGTGGTTCATAAGTATGAGTGGCCGTTCGTGTCTTTGGCGGTATGAACATACCGTATGAAATTTTCAACGCGTTGGTTTTTACTTTCAACGCGTTGGTTTTTACTTTCAACGCGTTGGTTTTTACTTTCAACGCGTTGGTTTTTACTATCAACGCGTTGGTTTTACTTCCAACGCGTTGGTTTTCACTATCAACGCGTTGGTCTTCACTTTCAACGCGTTGATTCGTAATTCATACGGTATGAAAAACCAACGCGTTGGTTTTCAATTCCATACCGTAAGTTTTGTACTTTTGTCGGCCAATCAAAATGTTTCTAACAAAGTATTTTCTAAAAATATCCAGTCGTCATCTTACTATTCGGACAGCCTCCGGATTTTTCTTGATATTGGCGGTAAAGTATGAATATGGCTGAATCGTCCGCAGCCCGTCTGCAAATGTTGATAAACAGGGCACAAAGATTAAATACAGAAGCAGCAAGACCACAAGTTGTCGAAAATCAAGATGACGATGATTTCTTGTCTGGGTAAGGTCCGGTAAAAGATTTTTGATAATCAAAATTTACGTCAAAACAATATTTCTTTTATTTTTATATATACACGTCCCTGTTATTATTTTATTGATGTGGTGTTGTAACATGTATCAAAGGGACTTGTCTAGTTGGTCAGACGAGTTTTAGATAACTATTTCCATACAATATTAAGTGTTTAGATACAGCTTTTCTTACACTGTCAGTCATGTCAGTGTCATCATCTTGTATGTAACCCAAACAATACAATTATGTCAAAAGTTTATATCCACAATTATTAAATCGAGAAAAGAATTATTGAGGTCTGTTAGATTTGATAATTTTGGATGTTAATTTTTATGAAGTCCGTTACTGTATTATTAAGGCGATGTGTACGTAATTGCACGCCTCTAGGGGAATTTAGGATAAAAAACGTGCGTCGTTAGTTACGCGGGTTATCTCACCTACTCCAAGAAAGGAAAAATGGGCACATGAAAGAAAAATGACTTCGTGCGGTCTATCATGAATCCAAACAAGTATTCATGTGCTATCTCAAAACTTCAAAGAAATAATTAGAATGACTCCAATCAGAAATCTGAGTATCCTATTGTGAGTTAGTCTGACTTTAATACCACTGTTTTTGTTTTAGACACGCAGGAGCAGGTACACAATACGACTCGTGTTTTTTTCAACAGAAGGTAAACACGCATAAACAACAAAATTATAACCAAATAAACAAATAAACCAGTGACAATTCTGCTTCTATTCGTATCAAATTCATTAAAATCAAACCAGAATTGACCCCACAATATTTTTTGAAAAACCATAGTTTTGAATGAAATTCACAGTGTAGCGTAAAATTGTAGGTAACGAATAATTATATTGCATGTGAATTTGTGTGTTGAACAAGAAAGACGTTGGCATGTCCGTTTTTATGCAATTGAAAATTTTATGATGTTTTATATTTTATTATTTATGTAAAAAGTATAAAAGATACTAAGGGGTAATCGACAACTAGTACAACATAATGAACATTTATAAGCTGAAGGCGAAGAAAAAGCCAACAGCAAAAAAAAAAAACCATCAGATTCCGTCCACAAAACATTACACACTCAGAAACTAAGAATTGAGCACTATTACATTTATCTCAGAATAAGTAAAATATATGTCATCCAAATCTCAGTTTTCAAGGTGCAGAAAATAAACAGGTGTCTTCTATTCCGTCCGCAATTTTTGGGGAAAGTAAAATCTAAATTTAGAACCATGGTTGAAACTGAAACTACACATGTATGATAAAAATAGAACGTGTTAAACTTATTTTTTCTTTATCAAATTCCAATTTCGAAGCGAAATATGTTTTCTTTTGTTGTGCTTTTGTGTATCATTCAGCAGTAGTATAAGGTAGGGGAAGAAGGGGTAGGGGTGAAGAAAATAAGGTTGCCTATAATAATTGCTTACATCCACATCATTTAAGGTATCTGGGGTGTCTAAATGTTGGACGATAAATTTTTCTTAAACTTCTGTAAAAGACTTCTGGGTCAATGTAATTTCAAATTTCAATATAAAAACTGGGGATCATGGACCTTGTTTTTTCGTAATAACACATTGAAATTAACGAAATTTGGGTTATTTTATATTGTTAATATAGGGGAAACTTAAGTTTTCCTTATTGCGGAAACATTAAACGATAGAATTGGCTAAAATTCGATGAGAAAATTGCTTTTCATTAATAACTCTGAAATATCAAATAAAAATAGGGGTCACGGGCCTTATTTTCTTGAAAAAATCCCCAAAAATTTTAAATATACTTTACGACACTTAATTTTTTGATAGTTCAATCTTTAAATTTCAAGTTTTAGGTATTTTGTTGTATATTAATGATACTTGGTAAAATATTTTTAAAACAAAAAAGAATTTTTGCAACATGATCAGAACGGACGCTCAGAAAAAGACACCCGATCTACCTTAAACTGTGGCAGATAGTTGTCTCATTTGAAATCATACCACATCTCCTTATTTTCATATTATATTAACAAAACTGCAATTCATTTGCATTATATACAGGGACAAGTTATATCAAAAACTCCGATCTGTTTTACTTTGCTAAAATTCATATGCGGGTTCTTCTTTTGACCTTATTACAGCCATAAAAATTCTCAAGATAATATGCAGATGCAGTTTTCTTATTTTTTCATGTTTTTTGGGAGTCGTGCATGTGGATATTCAACAAATAATGGTACAAGAAATTATTTCCTTTTTTACTTAAAATCTCCAGCAAACATTATATTATGCTTTGTCGTGTAGTTAAAGAAAAGGGAAAGCGATCGAGACAGGAAATTTTTAAAATAAAATTGCAGAGTTGTGTCACGTGCACGTGTGTGAACCTGACAAATAAAATGGGTTTTGTGCGCAATACCTCGAATAGCGCCGGAAATGGTGAGGATGAAAAGATGCAGCAAATTATATACACTTTTTTAAAATACAAACATGCAGAATTAGATTTTAAAAAAGACGTGTATACGCGATCCCAATATTATAACCGATTATTAAAATACGTATAGAATCATTCTGTCAACGCTGTGTTAACCGGGACAATTTCAAACTTGATATTTGATTCATAATTATTAGAACAATACAATATAAAAATAAGAAGATGTGGTATGATTGCAAATGAGACAACTCTCCACAAGAGTCCAAATGACACAGAAATTAACAACTATAGGTCACCGTACGGCCTTCAACAATGATCAAAGCCCATAGTCAGCTATAAATACAAGCATTTCAAAAAAGATGTGGAACCCTGTCTAATAAAGAAAAGATGGAGTTAAAGTCTATACAGTAACTTTCTTTCACTTGCAGTATATTTATTTTGCCAATTTGCTTTTTTTTTGGCAGCAGAATTTTCCTTAAAAAATACTCAGTTTATTTCCTTATCAATTGATTACGCTTGAGCATTTGCAATAATTAGGAAAATGGGTTATAAATAATTCGTAATTATATAAATCAACATGTAGACATCTTATACGTTCAGGTATTTCACATCCAATATTTTTTGGTAATATTCTTTACAAAGCACAAAAATGTCGGCATTCACCTCAAAAGCTAACCAAAACTTTAAACAGACTTATTCGGAAAGGATATAGTTACGATACTGTTGTCAGGTAATTAAGGATTGCATATTTTGGTATTAATATTGATTCACTCATAGGGTCTTTGCATCGGAAATAAACACTATTATTCTAAAACCAGTTGTTGGCATGATACGGGTTATGTTCTTCTCATATATTTTATGATTGTATGATACTAAACCCCTAACGGGAGGGATTGTACTTGATTTTCATATGATGAAGACATAATCTTTCAATCAGTTTAATTGAGGTCTGGAGCTGGCATGTCAATAACTGCTAGTAGTCCTTTGTTAATGTATGTATCATTGTCTTTTTGTTTAGTTTCTTTTGTTACCTATTCTGACATCGGACTCGGGCTTCTTTTAAACTGAGTTATACTGTGCGTATTGCTATGTGTTTCTTTATTCTACATTGGCTAGAGGTATAGGGGGAGGGTTGAGATCTCACAAAACATGTTTAACCCCGCCGCATTTTTGCGCCTGTCCCAAGTCAGGAGCCTCTGGCCTTTGTTAGTCTTGTATATTTTTTTAATTTTAGTTCATTTATATGTTTTGGAGTTTAGTGTGACGTCCATTTTCACTGAGCTAGTACACAATTTTATTTAGGGGCCAGCTGAGGACCACCTCCGGGTGCGTGATTTTCTCACTGCTTTGAAGACCCATTGGTGGCCTTCGGCTGTTGTCTGCTCTTTGGTCGGGTTGTTGTCTGCTCTTTGGTCAGGTTGTTGTCTCTTTGACATATTCCCCATTTCCATTCTCAATTTTATCATGTTTATACACACTCACGATTTTGTTTCGACACTGTACGGTATAATAGCGTTATAGAGTTATATCTAGTAGAAATTGTGATGATGTTACAGTAGACATCAATAACGTCGCCGAATTTTTTTTATTCTTTCCGCTAAAAATCAAACTTCCACAGGATATAGCTTGAAAACTAGCATGGTTGCTAAGGACTTTCTTTGCACCAATGGGTTCGTCGTTCATTTTTGAATCGCATATCGATTTTTAAAAAAATTCTGTGGACCAACGAATTAGAAAATCTTGATAAAGTAAAAATATCTGCCGATTTTTATGATTTTCCCTTTATATCCTTTGTATTTTTGGCGTATCATGCTGTTAATTTCAACAGCTTGTATCTGAAAAACGAAAACGGTTACCCCTTTTTTTTATTTTATTGTCTGATGTATTTTTACAAGCAGAATCCACATGTAAAATTAAAAAAAATTCTGTGGAGTAGTTAATTACGTACACTTCGCCTTAATATTGTACTGAACTGAACTGATAATTTGCTGATCCTGATTTGCTATCATTTGAGTTATTTTTGGAAAAATATCTTGCAAACTTCAGCCAATGCAGTTATTTTGCCTACACACTCATTCCCACACAGGTATTTTGCCTAGGGTCAGTTGTCCGCTTGAAATATGGGGTAATTTTTACGACGTTGAATGATATTCCCTATTGGATAACAGTTATTCTGCTTACATGCAGTTACTGCGGGAAAAGGGTGTTATTTTTTATGGTGTTTACTATAGTAAAGTATAATATTGACTGATGTTTAAAATTTTTACCTAGTTAACGTTTAATTACAATGGTGCTAAACTGCTAAAGTTTATTTATAAATAGTGTGTATATGGTTTACTTAAAAAAATATTGATACACAGGCCTACAGAAGGGTTCATAAATATGAATTTAAAAAAAGAAATGATATTTAAGTCTTGCTTTATATATTATATTTTGTCAACTGTTATCTTCGGTATTCCAGTATTGTGGTAACCAAGTTCAAGTGATCCGTATGACCCATTATTAGAAAAGCCCCTGTGATTAAAATTGAGAATGGAAATGGGGAATGTGTCAAAGAGACAACAACCCGACCATAGAGCAGACAGCATCTATAGGTTACACATGCAGTCATGATAAATGTAATTGGATACCAGTTGGTGCCGAACTGTTTCAGAGTTTGTCTGACCGAAATAGAAACTTGATCTTTTCTACTACATGTATATTTGCAACTAAATCTAAAAATTTCTGTTTGACCGATTAATTTTATGTCTGACAGTTTGTCAGTCAGAAAGAGTTTGCAACTAAAATGAAAATGAAAATAAAATAATGTAAAATATATTTTTATTTTATCGTAAATGATATTTCAGATTTCAACACTTCAGACGAAGTCATGAATCAAGACGAGCAGGGTCATCCAGGAAAAAGAAAAAACCTATGTACTCATTCAAAGTGACATGTTTGGATAGTCCAGAATATCAAACTATTAATCCTACCATTGTGAAAGCAATGAATGAAAAGCAATTAGGTAAATAACTGTGTAATTATAAAAATAAACTGTTGACACAGTTGACTGTATGCAACTTTGAAAGTTTAATGCAATTGTTTGAAATAAAAAAAACAACACATAACATGTAAACTATGGAAAAATTTGACTGACAATGTGAGGCCTGCCCCAAATAAATTTTAAGGAAACAAAATATACAAATGCTTACACAACTTAATACTAGATTTCACAACTTGATACTGTACATGCTGTATGGTGACCTATAGTTGTTAATTTCTGTGTCATTTGGTCTCTTGTGGAGAGTTGTCTCATTGGCAATCATACCACATCTTCTTTTTTTATAATTAATATAAGATTTCACAATTTAATACTAGATTTTAATGATTTAACATCATTGGTTTCCTTTATAACCTTACCCTAGACTTTAACAAATAAGCCATGAAAAAATTCCAAAGTCAATGAACCATGATTGGGTGACTGAGGGGTTGTGGTAAAAATATCTCCATGGAAATGATATTTGCCAAATTGCTAATGCTAAAATTAAAACATGTGAAATGTCATTGACTTATTTACAGGAATTTCCCTTAAATAATAAATTAAAAATGATGGTTTTGCAGATCAAATTTTGTGAGTGATTTTGATGACAGAATAGGACACCGTAGGGTCTTCATCAATAAGCAAAGCCAATACTGCATAGTCAGCTATAAAAGGCCCAGAAATGACAAATTTAAACGAGAAAATTAACGGCTTAATTAATGTACAAAAAATGAAAGAAAAAAAAAATAACACAACAACAAACATGACAAACGACAACCACTGAATTACAGCTTGTTTTTAGCTCACCGGGCCTGAAGGGCCCCATGTGAGCTTATGCCATCACTTTGTGTCCGTCGTCGTCGTCTGTCGTTGTAAACTATTTCAAAAATCTTCTCCTCTGAAACTACTGGGCTAAATACCTTCAAACTTTAAATGAATGTTCCTTAGGGTATCTAGTTTATAAATTGTATCCGAAATTTTGATCCATCAACAAACATGGCCACCATGACTAAAAATAGAACATAGGGGTCAAATGCAGTTTTTGGCTTATATCTCAAAAAGTAAAGCATTTAGAGCAAATCTGACATGGGTAAAAATGTTAAACAGGTCAAGATCTACCAGCCCTGAAATTTTCAAAGAAATCAAACAAACCATTGTTGGGTTGCTGCCACTAAATTAGTAATTTTCTGTCTTACTATTTCTAAAATCTTCTCCTCTGAAACTACTAGGCCAAATACCTTCAAACTTTAAATGAATGTTCCTTTGGGTAAATGAGAAAAATAGTATTGATCTATCTGCATGAACATGTTCAGAACAATGACCCCCCAGCCCCCCCCCCCCCCCCCAAAAAAAAAAGGTGCATTTTTAAGCAGACACTGATATACATTATTACTCAAAAATATAAATCATGATTGGTGAATGAATTAAGCTTTAACAAATCAGGTGAGCGATTCAGGCTCTTGAGAGCCTCTTGTTTGTGCATCATTCTTTATATAATGCAAAATTGAAAAAAGATATACGGTTACTTTCTGAAGGCTTATTATTATTGAAATCACCTTGTAAAAATTGAGTTCTAACCAAATAAAAAGATTATGCCTGCTTTCACAACATCAATATCTATTTCAGGTTATCGTCCTATTAAGATTGAAAGATCTGCAACAATAAATAAACTGACAGAAAAAGTCATGTCCATCTTTAAGTTCACATGTGCTTTCAAATATATGAAAGCAGTGAGAAATACCATCAATATATGTGAGCTTAAAGAATTGCAAGTCACTTCAACAAAGGATGTGAAATCCAAAATAGGCAGGTCAAACCTGTATATTTTACCAGCAGAAAAGGTGATTTTTACCAGTAAAATATCAAAAATTGGTGCATGAAGTTTAGAGAAAACCCATGTTCAATATATTTTTCCCCATGTTATAAAAGCAACATTTCAAGACATCAAAAACTTGTATTGCTTCTTTACCATTTTACATATATCATGTATATGGCACATGGGGTTACAATTAAAGGTGACACTTTGTCCTTTCAAGGTCACTATAAATGGTATGCAACACATCATATACATGTACATGTAACTAAATGATATATGCTAAACGTTATATACATAGTATTGCTTACCAAAGCCTTCATATAAGGCTTGATAACACTTTAAAAGTAGTATATTTAGTATTCTGAAAATGTGTTTTATGGGAGAATTAATCATCAGAGAGCAGTAAAGTAAAAGCTCTATTTTTATTGTATCACTTTCATAGCTGAGCTGACACACTAGGATTGGTATCATGAAATTAACATTGCTTCTTTTTTTCTGCTTTTATTTTACAGATACACTTGTGCATGCTATTTAACTTCTCATTTAACTTTTCAGATAGGCCAGAGTTCTCCTGAAGAGAGCAGTGACGAGTCAGGAAGCAGTTTGCCTAACCCCCATTTGGTGGGTATGACTTTCTACGAGTTAGAAAATAAAATAAAGTATCCTTCTATCTATTTATAAAGATAAAACAAACTTCTATCTATTTATAGTTTAAAATAGAAAAGAAAAATGGATTTATCAAACCACCCCTTAATTTGTAAAGGGGGGGGGGGATATTTTGTATCCACAATTCTTCTTTGATATTTTATTAAAATTTTCTTTTAGTTTTAATTATAAAGTGACATTAGGCACTGTCTATTTCATTTTTATAGTGTGTTTCGGTCTCTGTGTCTTCGTTCATTTGTCCATCTGTCCTTCTTCAGATTATATTTTTTGTTCTTTTTGATGAAGTTGAATTCCAATCAACTTGAAACTTAGGACACATGTTCCCTATGATATGATGCCAAATGAGAGTTTTGACCCATATTTCACAGTCCACTGAACATAGAAAATGATAGTGCACACTTCAGTAAATTTTTTAGTCAATGTATTTATAAAGTTTAAAGTCCAAGCAACTTGAAACTAAGTATATATGTTCCGCATGATATTTTTAATTTTAATGTTAATTGAGAGTTTTTACTCCTATTTCACGGTCCACTGAATATTGAAAATAAAAGTGTTAGTTGGGCATCCATGTACAATGGACACATTCTTGTTTCTTAATCTTTTTTATTTTTGCAAGGGGCGGATGTATAATTTTGTGAGCTCATATTAATGTAAACAAATATGAAATATCTAGGACACAAAACAACCTGCATCTATATATTGTGTCTAATACAATACAATAAGAGATAAAAAAAAAAAGTTGTCTTTAAGGTGGTACCTAACACTACAGGGAGATAACTCTGTAAAAATCAGCTAAACGTTTTAATTACGTTGTATTGTTAAGGAAATATTAAGCTTCTCAATGATCAAAATTAGTGTTTGTCAAACTGCTATATAACCAACGAAATTTTTCTGATAAAGTGGTTGGTTCAAATTTTTTGAAATTTTTATATTTTTGTCAAAGGGTCAAAGTAAACATTTTGTCAAAATTTTATGAAAATTAAACGAGCCAAATTAATATTAGTCAAGGTGTTGGGTACCACCTTAACTGCAGTACACAGTAATGAAAAAAAAATGTTGAAATTATTTGTAAACAATATTACTGGACTACTCATATTTTTATTATACATGTACAAATTTAGATTGCAAACTTTGGTAAATATGTTGTTTATCATTTGGTTTCTTTTGACAGGATGCTATACCACAAAGAAGATCAAGGTTGTGTCATAGAAATAATGTAAGAACAAGTCTAGTATAATGATATTAAGTTAAAAGTTAAATCAAAGATTTTTTTTTTATAGAAAATCCCAAATAATGTTTTTCATCAACACACAAACATACTAATCAGGGCAATCAATTTATTCGCGTTAAATTGTAGTTTACATTTATATCAATACAAAACATTAAATCTTGTATTTTTTACCTTACTAGACCAAAAGGGTCATGTGTGCGTTTGCCTTCACTTGGCATTATATGTCATTGTAAACTGTTTAAAAAATCTTCAATGTACCTATTAGACCAAATAATATCAAGTTCCACCTGACGTTCCTCATGGTTATAGTCTGAAAATTTGTTCCATCCTGTTTATTTATGTTAATTTTTGTTATACAATTTAATTAGAAAAATTTTGAAGAATCAAAAATTTGGTCCTCAAGGACCAGTGACTCAAAAACAGTATAAGTTTTTGATATCATAATAATAATATCAATAATATCATCTATAAAAAAAACTGAACGAGGTTGCGGAGGGTATAATGTTTTTGACCCGTCCGTCCGTCAGTCTTGTTTCTTGTCATCGCAACTCCTCTCAAACCACACAACAGAATTTCATGAAACCTTTTTAGATAATAAGGACATACTATGTAGTTGTGCATATCGACAGGAAATTACGATTCATTTTTTTTCTAGGAGTTACGCCCCTTTGAACTTATTTGCTTCAATGTACTACTGCAACAGTTTGTCATCGCAACTCCTCTGAAACCACACCACAGAATTTAATGAAACTTTGTAGATGATAAGGACATACTATGTAGATGTGCATTTCGACAGGAAATTACAATTCAATTTTTTTCCTAGGAGTTGCGCCCCTTTGAACTTATTTGCTACTACTGCAACAGTTTGTCATCGCAACTCCTCTGAAACCACACAACAGAATTTCATGAAACCTTTTTAGATAATAAGGACATACTATGTAGATGTGCATATCGACAGGAAATTACGATTCAATTTTTTTTCTAGGAGTTACTCCCCTTTGAACTTATTTGCTTCCATGTACTTCTGCAACAGTTTGTCATCGCAACTCCTCTGAAACCACATAACAGAATTTCATATAAATTTGTAGATAATAAGGACATACTATGTACATGTGCATATTGACAGGAAATTATGATTCAGTTTTTTTTTCTTACACTTATTTTATTTCTCCAATGACAATGTGGGGACGTGGGGTATGTGAGCACGCTCACTAAGGTTCTTTAATTATGGATGAAATAACCAAAAAAAGTGTTGTGCTTTGTTACAGATTAAAGTGTAAGTAAAACCATATTGAATATATAAATATATATATACAGTTATATATAAATATATATACAGTTAACTCTTTTTGTCTTGATCTTGGTTGACTTGAAAAAGTGTGGTCCCAAACTTTGGTCTATTTATAGTTCCATATCTGACATATCTGAGAAAACATTTTAGTTCTATGTAATTTTACTCAAAATGTGTTTTAGCATGTTATTAATGTAACTTTTGTATGCAAATATTTTGAAGCAATACATATCATTCTTGATAAAAGCAACATGAAATGTATAAAAACAGCATGAGAAAAAAAAATATATTCAATTTTATAAACACGACAAAGGTGATAACATAATATACATGTATCTCAGTTCAAAACATCAATCCCAGACTTCTACCCTGCTGGATTTATTTTAACCTTTCCATAAGTGGGACAAGAGTTGGCCCTATTCTGCAAAACTTCATGTATTCTTCGAGTCAAGCTAAATCTATCAACTAAAAATGAATTCTCAAGTCAGGAAAACCTCAAGATAACAATGGTAAACTGTATATATATATTTTTGAAGTAATGGAATATAAGCGCTATTTATTTTTTTAAATGTCAAGTGTTCTGGCTACAATTTCCCAAAGGTGAAGGGTGGTCATGGTGGTGTGGAATATACTTATATTTTCTTGTTTTATGTTCTAACATAAAGTTAATATCAAAACATTTAAATAGTTTTAATTACTAGATTATAATTCAACAAAATTCTAGATAGAACATGTAGAAGCAGAAAAACAGAAAAAATATAAATGCTTATTGTCATCCTGCAGGAACACTTTTGACCCACAGGTGAAGACACTTGAAATGTAATAGATGTGGTACTGTACTTAGCCGGTTGAAGAAAAAGTGTCTTCTCCTTTGGATTAAGAGTTGTTTTATTAATACATTGTAGCTATTGAATGTTTTCTTTGTTCTATATAATGCACCCTTTTTCACCTGCAAATATTTAGATACAAAATGTAGCTTTTACCATTATCTGGTATCCATATTATAGTTTAAGAGTTTTTCACTGATTCAAACATAGCAATCAACTTGAAAAATTGTCGGTGGGTATACTGAAGCAATCAACAAAAGGTAACCAGTTTTCTGTACATCTTCTGAACCATGCACCCATGCTTCTGTGCTTCATTCAATGTATAAAATGACATTTATATCCAATTCTATGACTTTTAAAAAGTAAAAAGTATTTGTCTTGTGGTCAGTGATTGATATCATTTCTTAAATAACCAACAAAACTTATGGATATGTGCATCATTATAAATATAAATGATTTTGTTAATCTCTGCCAAACCAAAAGATATGACCACATTGATTATATAGCAAGTATTAAGAGAGATGAAGCAAACTCAATTATAACATGTTCTGTTGTTGTTATTTATAGTAATTTTGAATAAATATTGAGAAGTGAAAGGTCTACAAGACAAATTGAATGTCTTTTATTGTATCAAATCTATCTGAAATATTTTCCTCTCACATTCACCACACTTTTTCTTTCTTTTAGTATACATGTATATGTTATTTTTGGTTTTACTTATTTTTGTCAGCTTGGTATACATGATGTATTCCTTGTTCATGTTGTTTGATATTTCTTATAATTGGTTATAAGTATTTATAAATAATACCAAAACAGAAGAAACTTCAGTGTTTCCAAATATTATCAAATATACCAATACCAAAGTTCTAATGCCAGTAATGACTAGTTTTTGTTTGTTTGTTTGTTATTGACAGGATTAAGCATAAGAAATGAAAATAAGAAAAGTATTAAAGGAAAAAATTGTTTTATTCATGGTAAACATTTGTAAATGAAACTTCTTAACAATGCTCTTTATATTAATTTTTTTTAATAAACTGGAACTTGAATTAAGATAAGGTAAATGTGTAAAATAGTATAATTGTTGGTAACAATCCTTTCAAGATAAGTACTTTATATATTTTTTTTATTTTACCACTTTATATTTTTTTATATTTTCCCTAGAATATAAAATATGAATCATCATGATCATATGCATGACTATATTTTTTAGGATTTTACTGATGAAGATATGCTTCCACCAATTACTGTACCAGTAAGACAGAGGCTGGTAATGTATACTCAAACATTTTATTGCTGGAATATAAAGAGAAAAAAATTGTATAACACTATCTGACCATCTAAATAATGCAGAGAAAATGTGAAAATATCAAGAAACTAGAGTTTTTATATGACCGTCTGAGAGGGGATGTATTATTTCTTATGTTATATTAAAACAACATTAGGATTGGCTGAAGAAAAGTGTCTTTCTATTTAGTTATATCATTTCAGAGTTATGGGACTTTAATTATTTGAAAAAAGGCAATTTTTCACATTTTGCACATTAAATTTCGTACAGTCTTCAGGTATTCATAGATTGATTTCCTTGAAACTTTTCATTATTGTCAGGATTGTTATAAAGAAGCTCCTTTTTTTATTTATTTGTTATTCTGGAGTTACAGGATTTTACTATTTTGAATTAAAGACAAATTTTAATGCCTTCTTTTCCAATTTTATTTATCAGCAGCAATTGATATATGCTCAATACAGGTGTATCATTTGCTCTAGGTGCAGCTTCTCTTAAGCATGTCAGGTGTATCACCAGTTTGTATTTCTTGACATAAAGTTGGATGCAACTTTGAGGTCACATTCAATTGACATGTAATAAATGTGGTGCTGTATGGTAGGCTGAAGCTGACTATCTATAAGATAACTTAGGAACCATTCAACAAATTTGTTTTCAAATTTAAATACATAATGCTTATAAATGTTGTTACTTGGGACAAAATAGGGAATAAGTTTTTTTTTTCACTTTTACTGTTCCACTGAGTTATAGTTCTTGAAATATTGCACTATCCAAATGAATTAAACTCTTTCTGGTCAGCCAATGCGGATTAGGCCTGTGTGAATCCTTTCGGTAGAGTCCATGAAGTGGGTACCTTGGTATGTTTGGTTGTCAAATAATACAAATGAATGCAAAACTTAAATTATAAACAAAAATTGACAACACCACAGTGGCACTTAAAATTTTGTGTAGTATGGTCTACATGTGTCCCCTGCCTTAAAGTGCTGTCAATTTTGATTATTATCCTGATAAATGCCTTCTGACAGGCCTTGTTCATTTTTTTTTATCATTTTTTTCTAGGATTTGAGTACTGTGGCTGGAGCACCAAATGCTGTGAATAACCAAGATCCACCACAGGTATGTGAATGCAGAGACAGGATATATTCGCATTAAACAGTGTTAAAGTGAATAGACTATCAAAATAATACTTTTGTATGGGAATATATTTCTGGTTTTCAATTCATTTCTTTTTGAAAAGTTTTCTTAAAGAACATTGTTACAAGAATAACTTTGAATGACTAGTATACTGGTAATTGAATTGTAAATCTCTTTTAGGTATCCCAAAATAACTCAGCAGGTACAAGAAGCACACTATCAACATCAAGAAGGAGAAGACTGTCAACACCAAGAAGGCCTAGAAGAAGTACAGCAATCAGGAGTGGAACACAGGTATAAACATGATAAAGCCAATCAATAGCAGATTCCAAACAATCGGAAAGTAAAAGGAATGTCTTTCTGCAGTTTACTGGTCAAATGAAAATTATAACTTATTAAGTACACTGGTATGTTTTTGGCTTTCTTGACCCAAAGGACATGAAGGATGGGTTGACCTGTTGGCTGTTGTATTTCAATCCCTATTTTTATACGATCGCAAACAAATTTTGTGGTCGTATATTGGTATGACGTTGTCGTCGTCGTCCGAAGACACATTGGTTTTCGCACTCTAACTTTAGTTTAAGTAAATGGATCTCTATGAAATTTTACCATAAGGTTCAATACCACATAAGGAAGGTTGGGATTGATTTTGGGGGTTAAGGTACCAACAGTTAAGGAATTAGGGGCCAAAAATAAGCATTTTTGTAACTTCCAGACATAACTTGTGTGTAAGTGTATGGATCTCTCTGACATTGTACCACAAGGTTCCATATCATAAAGGGAATGCTGGGGTTGATTTTGGGGGTAATTGCCTCAAAATTTTAGGAATTAGGGGCAAAAAACAAGCATTTTTCTAGTTTCATGACAATAACTTGTGTGTAAGTGTATGGATCTCTCTGACATTGTACCACAAGGTTCCATATCAAAAAGGGGATGCTGGGGTTGATTTTGGGGGTAATTGCCTCAAAATTTTAGGCATTAGGGGCCAAAAAAGGGGCAAAAAACAAGCATTTTTCTAGTTTCAAGACAATAACTTGTGTGTAAGTGTATGGATCTTTCTGAAATTGTACTACAAGGTTCCATATCACAAAGGGAAAGCTGGAATTGAGTTTGGGGGTAATCGCCCAAAACGTTTAGGAATAAGGGGCCAAAAAGGGGCAAAAAATAAGCATTTTTCTAGTTTCCAGACAATTAATTGTGTTCAAGAGTATTGATCTCTCTGAAATTGTACTGCAAGGTACCATACCACAAAGGGAAGGCTGGGATTGATTTTGGGGGTAATTGCCTCAAAATTTTAGGAATTAGGGGCAAAAAAGGGGCAAAAAACAAGCATTTTTCTAGTTTCAGGACAATAACTTGTGCGTAAGTGTATGGATCTTTATGAAATTGTACTACAAGGTTCCTTATCACAATGGGAAAGCTGGGATTGAGCTTGGGGGTAATTGCCCTAAATGTTTAGGAATTTGGGGCCAAAAAAACAGGCATTTTTCTAGTTTCCAGACAATAACTTGTGTTCATGTCTATGGATCTCTCTGAAATTGTACTTGCAAGGTACCATACCACAAAGGGAAGGCTGGGTTTTGAGTTTGGGGGTGATAAATCATAAGGGGGTTCAAAAAAATTGGGGGAGGGATTTTTTTTCCTTTTTTTTTCTTTAAAATTTTCCATTTTAAATTGTTTATTTCTGATTTATATATAAAAGCAAATAATAATGAAATGGTTTGAATAGGTAAATTAAAATTTTTTATGTTCTTAGACCACATTCATTCTGTGTCAGAAACCTATGCTGTGTCAAATATTTAATCACTATCCAAATTCAGTGAAAAAAAAAGCTTGATTGTTTTGTCCATACTTGCCCCAACTGTTCAGGGTTCTACCTCTGCGGTCGTATCAAGCTGCGCCCAGCAGAGCATTTTATTTGCTCAATGGCAGAAAAAGCGGAAAGTTATTGACAGTCATCACAAACACACTTTATATTTTTTTATATATATGGCAGGTTAGAATTGTTAATAGATACTCAGAAGATGTGGTATGAGGGCCAAAGAGACAACTCTCCATCCAAGTCACAAATTATAAAAGTAAAGCCTTTATTGACAATTTTTTAACAGAACAATTTTTAGCTCACCTGGCCCAAAGGGCCAAGTGAGCTTTTCTCATCACTTGGCGTCCGTCGTCCATTAACTTTTACAAAAATCTTCTCCTCTGAAACTACTTGGCCAAATTTAACCAAACTTGGCCACAATCATCATTGGGGTATCTAGTTTAAGAAATGTGTCCGATGCCCCTGCCCGCGAACCAAGATGGCCGACATTGGCTAAAAATAGAACATAGGGGTAAAATGTAGATTTTGGCTTATTTCTCTGAAACCAAAGCATTTAGAGCAAATCTGACTGGGATAAAATTGTTTATTAGGTCAAGATCTATCTGCCCTGAAATTTTCAGATGAATGGGACAACCCGTTGTTGGGTTGCTGCCCCTGAATTGGTAATTTTAAGGAATTTTGCCGTTTTTGGTTATTATCTTGAATATTATTATAGATAGAGATAAACTGTAAACAGGAATAATGTTCAGCGAAGTAATATCTACAAATAAGTCAACTTGACCAAAATGGTCAGTTGACCACTTAAGGAGTAATTGCCCTTTATAGTAAATTTTTAACCATTTTTCGTAAATTTTTGTAATCTTTTACAAAAATCTTCTCCTCTGAAACTTCTAAGACAAATTTAACCAAACTTGTCCACAATCATCATTAGGGTATCTTGTTTAAAAAATGTGTCCGATGCCCCTGCCTGCGAACCAAGATGGCCGACATGGCTAAAAAATAGTACATAGGGTAAAATGCAGTTTTTGGCTCATATCTCTGAAATCAAAGCATTTAGAGCAAATTTGATGGGATAAACTTGTTCATTAGGTCAAGATCTGTCTGCCCTGAAATTTTCAGACCAATCAGGCAACACGTTGTTGGGTTGCTGCCCCTGAATTGGTAATTTTAAGAAAATTTTGCAGCTTTTGGTTATTATCTTGAATATTATTATAGATAGAGATAAACTGTAAACAGCAGTAATGTACAGCAAAGTAAGATCTACAAATAAGTCAACATGACCAAAATTGTCAATTGACCCCTTAAGGACTTATTGCCCTTTATAGTCAATTTTTTACAATTTTCGTAAATTTTTGTAATCTTTTACAAAAATCTTCTCCTCTGGAACTACTGGGCCAAATAGAATCAAACTTAGCCACAATCATCATTAGGGTATTCAGTTTAAAAAATGTGTCCGATGGCCCTGCCTGCCAACAAAGATGGCCGACATGGCAAAAAATAGAACATATGGGGTAAAATGCAAGTTTTGTCTATTATTCTGATAACCGTTATAAAAAGAGGAAATCTGAAGAGAGTAAAATTGTTCAGAATGTTTAGCTCTACCAATTATCCATATACGTCAAAACTGTTAGACAATTTCTTGTAGGAGTTATTGCCCTTCAATGGCAAATTTTACCACTTTTTTTCAATTTATACCTATTATCATATCTTGAAAACTATAAAAGATAGAGAGAAACTTTAAATTGCAAAAATGATCAGAAGGACAAGTTCTTCAAATAAGTCTTATGGTTGAAATCATCAGTTGACTCCTTATTAGAGTTATTTCCCTTTGATGCCGATTTGTACAATTTTTTTTTCGTTTTTGTCTTATATCTTAAAACTTATAATAGATAGAAAGAAACTTAAATATACAAAAATGATCAGCAAGACAAAATCTACAATGAAGACAAATGGCAGAAATTGTCCAACGACTCCTTATTGGAGTTATTGCCCTTTAGTTATGATTTTTACCATTTTTCTGGCGTTTTTCCTTGTATGATATTAATTATAATAGATAGATAGATAGAAACTTAAATAATCAAAAATGATAAGCAAGACGAGACCTACTAACAAGTCAAATTTTGCTGATATAATAAGTAGACTGTTAATCTTTATAGGAGTTTTTTTACCCTCTTTTGTGTTTAGAGCAAAAGCTAAATAAGATCATGAAGATAGAGAGAAACTAAACAGACTTCAATGATCAGCAATATAAGATACAAAAAAAAACAGAGATTTTTGTCATTAATTCTATTCTCGTCTACAATGTTGGAGAGTGTCCCTGTTGAATATGCATATAGACCAAGGTGAGCGACACAGGGTCTTGAGAGCCTCTAGTTTATTTATCTTGACGATGATTAATAAAAATTGATTTAAAAGAAATGGTGTTATGCCATGAACCCCCCTTTTTGAACACATCTTGCTGTGTTGTTATGAAGTATAAATGATAATACCGATAGGTCTGTGAGATTATATGCTATGAAAATGAGTTTATTTGATATGCTGATTGTGCTAATATTAATTGTCATGATTGAATTCTATCGTGTTTCAAGCGATCAATGTTATGACTGGAATTTATTCACGGTGACAAATTTGCAAGTTTGTCCACGGAGTGCTTTTACCTTTAGTTCTGTTGTTTATTTGAAATATTAACCTTTTAAATGTATTCTTAAGTTATTCTGTATGTGTAAAAACCGTCAGGTTGAATAAATATGTTGTTTCTTATTGAAATTAAGCTGGAAAACATCTTTATTTACACAAAACTTCCAGTGTTTACATTTTGAGTTAACATTTCGGGAATTTCCCTTAACAGAAAGAAGGCTGCTGATTGGTTCAACATATGTAAAAGCATCTGTGATTGTCTGTTTGTGGAATAAAACTAAAAAGATCAACTACGGAGGGCAGTGATTATTTGTTGTTTGAAAGTTACAGAGTGCAATATTTAAAATGTCTTAGAATTTAAATATGATAGGAAAAGTAAGGAAATTGCACCTATATTAACAATGATTTATTATAGATGCAAGTTGGTGACATTTCCTAGGTGTAAATGGTTGGGTGAGAATTTTAAGTGTAAATAGTTGGTGATTTGTATCATTGCAAGTAGTCTGTGACTTTGCTAGGTGTAAATAGTTGGTGACTTTTCAAGGTGTAAATAGTCCCTGACTAATTTGGGTGTAAATACTTGGTGACAATTTAGGGTGTAAATTGTACCAATATTTTAAGTATTAATGGAATAGTTGTCTTTGTGACCATAATAGCAAGTAGTTTTATACTGATAGTTATTTGAAATAGATGTTGTTAAATTAAGGCTACATGTATTTATTTGTAAGCCTGTTCAAGCTATACGCTACCTGTAGTTTCTAAACTAGTCAAAGTTAACAGAGAGGTGACTGGATAGTTATATATATGATTAATATATAGATTAAATAAGATAGACCAAATATGCCGTGGACCCAACCAGACCAGTGACAGAGCCTGTACAGCCATTCTCTCAGCGGTTTTAATTGTCAAATAAATAATCAAAACTGTTATATGCTATGACTTTTATTTCTCAATCATATATAAAATAGATAGACCTGTAGAACATAGGTTAAATGAAGCTGTAAAGTGTATTGGTTCGACGGTATTCTAATTAGACATCAGGCCTGACATTCTACAGAAATAAATAATACCAGTTAAGAAATCCCTTTTCTATGTAATCTGGGATCTCTGGTGGCCAACTCTTAACACCAGGGAGGCAGCATTATAATATACCACCAAATTTTGGAATAAGTCACCTTGGGTGGTTAAAGTAGTCAGACAAATAGTGTTTACTTTTGATTTACACTACACGAGTAATTCTACTTTTGTAGGAGCAGGAAAATAATGCTGAGTTAAATCAATCAAGCATCATTGATGTAACAGAAGAAACACCCCCAGTAAGTGTTAATTTAGCAAGATTATTATTAGGTCATATTTTACAGGTAAATCTTTTCTTCTTAATAAATGACTTACACTGTTAAATTTGGTTTATTTTTTATTGGTATAATACTATAAAAAACTTGTAACAACCACTAAAATTACAAGCTCCTAATACTAGGGACAGGTATATTTAGCATTTTTCGCAAAGTTAACTTATAGAACCTTGTAAAAAAAAAAATTGCTAGTATACTGGTGATTGAATGATGAATCCCTTTTAGGTATCCCAAAATAACTCAGCAGGTACAAGAAGTACATTATCAACACCAAGAAGGAGAAGACTGTCAACACCAAGAAGGCCTCGAAGAAGTACAGCTATCAGGAGTGGAACACAGGTATAAACATGATAAAGTCAATCAATAGCAGATTCCAAACAATTCAGAAAGTAAAAAGAATGTCTTTCTGCAGTTTACTGGTCAAATGAAAATTATAACTTATTAAGTACACTGGTATGTTTTTGGCTTTCTTGACCCAAAGGATGGGTTGACCTGTTGGCTGCTGTATTTCAATCCCAATTTTTTGCTCATTGGCAGAAAAAACGGAAAGTTATTGACAGTCATCACAAACACTTTATAGTTTTGATATATATCATGTATATGGTAGGTTTGAATTTTAAAGCCTTTATTGACAAGCAAAGGAATAAAAAAAAAAAATACAGAACTATTTTTATTTATTTTAACAAAAATTGATAAACATTGAGTTAAAAGAAATATATCAACAAATTTTTGAATAAGTCACCCTTGGTGGTTAAAATAGTGTTTACTTTGATTTACACTACACGAGTAATTCTAATTTTGTAGGAGCAGGAAAATAATGCTGAGTTAAATCAATCAAGCATCATTGATGTAACAGAAGAAACACCCCCAGTAAGTGTTAATTTAGCAAGGTTATTATTGGTCATATTTTACAGGTAAATCTTTTCTTCTTAATAAATGCAGTTTTTGAGCATATCTAATTAGCATGTGGTAGTAATATTCAGCAGGTCAGATCTATATACCCTCAATTTTCAAATGATTCAGACAACCCATTGTTGGGTTGCTGCCCCTGAATTGGTAATTTAAATGAAATTTTACAGTTTTTGGTTGTTATCTTGAATATTATTATAGATAGGGATAAACTTTCAACAAAATAATGTTCAGCAAAGTAAGATCTACAAATAAGTCAACAAGACCAAAATAGTCAATTGACCCCTTAGGGATTTGTTGCCTTTATAGTCGATTTTTAACATTTTTTGTAAACTTTTACAAAATCTTCTCTGAAATAACTGAGACAAATTAAACCAATCTTGGCCACAATCATCTTTAGGGTATTAAGTTTGAAAAAAATATGTCTGATGACCCCACCTACCAACCAACATGGCTGACATGGCTAAAATAGAACATAGGGACAAAACTTTTGCCACATATATAACAAATCTTAGGATGAGGGAGATATACTTTAGATAATTCATATATGAAATTAATAACAATAAATTGAATGATAATTTTGAATATTATTCCAGGTACTAAGTCAACTGCCTAGTTTGAGAGTTTGACATTTAGATTGTCACACTAGTAAAACAATTTTGTAGTTGATACCTATACAGGCAAAAAAAAAACACCCAATAGTATGCTATTTTAAAAAAAGTTTGTTATTGGTTTCTTGTAATTTCTCAATTTGTAATAGGAAGTGGTTGCAGCAGGATATCGCACTGCCACTGGCGACTCACCAACAGTTTTATTTAGAACATCAGCACCACTAATGGTAGATCAGATGAATACCCATTCCATATCAATTCCAAATCAAACAAACTGTCTCAACAAATCATTGACATAACAAGGTATGTTCTTACAGTCATAATTAATACTGTATATGTAAATTTCTTGATTTATGTTCTTTTAAATGTTTATGAAAGCATGCCATCATATGTGTCCTATGGACAAATTCTTCTTTTATTTTGGTGTCGAATAGGTTCTGTTTAATGTTTACTTTTAGTTGTGGTATCACAAGTGAGCAGTCACAAGTGAGCAGCAGCTCACAGATTCACTTGTTGAACATACATTTATATAAGCTGGTTTTCGTAGAGAAAAGAATGTGCTTGAGGTTCATTTGTCAACAAACTTGAGACATAAATTCTCCAATCTTCATATAGGAAACTATGCTCCATATTACATATTTTTTTTCTATTTCAGAGGACTGCATGTTAATGAAACCAATGACAATGGTTTGAATGACTATATACCAGAAACAGCACCATTTGGTGATGTTGGGTAATATTCTATTATTTTGTTATAAACCAACCAAAACTCAAGTAAATATACATTAAAATGTAACTCTGAATCTTTTTGGGGTAAAAAAGTGTTAAATTAGAAAATGCTACATGAATATATTTTTCTGTCATATTATTTTTGCTCAGGGCAATTCCAGAATTAAACATTCTAGGGTAAATTGTTCAGATCCAAACCACCCATAATAACAAAAAATTATATGAAATGCATTTTAATTTTTTTTTACCACACAGTGAAATTTGGAACAGCTCTCAGAAAAAATAATTAGTAAGAATAGCAGGTTATTTTCACGGGTGTAAAATTTCTCGATAGACAACAAAGTATAAGAAAATTTTTGGTGGTTTTTATTTTGGTGGATTCTAAAATTTCAGTTAAATATTTTGGCAGATACTTAAATTGTTGCAGATAAAAATGAGAAGCAAGTGTCTTACTTAATTGATATTTTATTTAAAGAATATATTCTGATACTGAAAAAAAATACCAGTAACAGTAAGATATTTGTCACAGGTATACACACTTCTGTTAAATTTTACAGATGAATAGTAACAAAAATGACCGAACCTTTGATGTACTTACTAATTAGGTTAAAAATTATCAAGAGTGATTTACAACTCTAATGTAGTTTGACACTAATAAGTAAGGGTAATTGCCTGATAGAGTACCTTACAATGAATAATAAGGGTACACACCCGACAGTCATTTTATAAAATACATCTGTACAATACCCTTATGTGTACAATACCCTTTGAGCATTTATGTTGGTAACACTAACCTATACCATTATTGACCTGCTGACAGGAATAGAAGAAAATCATTTACTAAACGCTTTAGCTTTTAGAAAGTACAGAACATATAAATAAATTTTCGCAACATTTTTTTTTGCTATTTTCATTTATCTATATAGTTTAACATTGTAAGCCATCTCAAACCTAGTACATTTATTGTTTGATATTAAAGTAATTTATGAAAAAAATATTGAATTGAAAAGATGTTATATATTTGTTGGGAGACAATGTTATTTATGGTTAGCATTTATATCCTTTACACAGACAAAATCCCTCTGCTGATGGGTTGAAAGATGTTCTGGTTGAACATAGGGAACTGTTCATAAAATCTACATCAGAAGAGGATCCATTGCTGATGGAGGTTCGAAGGGGTTATGTATTGGTGGACTCCATCACCATCATCAGATTCTCAGGAGATGACCTACATAGTCCCTTGAGTATAAAATTTGTAGATGAAGAAGGTGTAGACTTAGGTGGTCTTAGAAGAGAGTTTTGGAGCCTTTTGCTTCATAATATTAGTCATTCATGTTATGTAACAGGTAATGTTATTGTTTAGTTAAAAATGGAGATTTAATGACATTTTAAATACCTGAATGTATAAAATACTACCGTTCCTACTCGCTTATTAGTCGGAAAATTGGGAGTAAAATTCATAATCCAGAGAGGGGGACCGACTAATAGACGAGATCTAGCGACCAGAGGAAAAATCCAAGCTTGAGAAAAGTGGACAGGAGTGAATTTCCTGGTCAAAACTACGTTTTTGATTGCCAAACCTACATAAATCAATAAATAAAAAGTATTTGTTGAAAATAAATGACTACAATACTGTCTTTGTGTTTTATTTGTTCTTTGGTAAACATTTTCTGCAAATTTGTGTTGAAATTCTACTGTTTCGGGTTTATGTATTGATTTTCATGGTCACATGGTTTTCCTATAAACCCAAAAGAAGAGCCAAGAACCAAAAATGAAAAGGAGATAACAATGTACCAAATATGTGAAAGGATGTTTTCAGCGGAGTTATTGTGTCATTATTGTGATATCATGATATCAATTCAATGCTTATAAATCATATAATAATCAAAAAATGATTTTAAGATTCATTCCCAAAATCAAAATATTATTCATTTAAGTGTCTCAGGTAAACAAAAATTACAAAATTGATTGACAAGCCAATATAATCCATTGATAACCCCAATTAAGAGACAAAGAGTTGTATTTACTAAAGGTGTGAAAGCTATCAGTGATAGGTAAACAGATGACACTAATGAGTTGGAGTTAGTTATTTTAATATATTGATTAGCTTCACTTAATTTTTTTAATCCTTTAATCATCACAATATAATAAGAATTATGAAGTGTGCATGCTCATTTATCACCGAGTTATGTATGCTGTGAAAAATATTTTCATCAAGTGTTGATTGACTTTAAATTTTTCAGGTTCATATTGGTTTATATTCGCTTTTCTCAAACAATAGGTTGTTAGTCATACCCTACAAAATCATTGATGCATTACGTAAACAACACATGGCTAATCAAACATTTGAACAGTGAACAAAACAAGAGAAATGAATACATCTTTATTATTAACAGCAATATAAATTATCATGATGAGCATCAACTAAATTCAAACCAAACAAACATTAATGCAGAAATGAATATTATTCCTGGATTTGCATTGGTTTTACCGGCGTTCAGTTACTGTCAGCTGAAAAAAAAAATGCCCAAATTTTGTCCGACTTATACGAGGGTCAAGACTAAATCCTTAGAATTTGGAGCTGAAAAGGGCACCCGACTTATAGTAGGATCGACTATTAGGCGAGTTTCGACAGTACTACTAAGTACTTTTATTTAACGTGAGCTTAAATGTCCCACAGAATATAAGAACTGTTGTCTAAATCAAGACTTAAAAAGATTTTCATTACCTCTCATGATCTAGAGAATACATCAAATATCAGGAAACACACTATGAATACAATATACAACCTCAGACATGATTTTAACTATTCAATCATAAAAAAAAAACAAAAGACAGTTGGTTTCCGCTCTCTAACTTTACTTTGCTTAAACAAAATGTTATGAAACTTAGTTAAAAAAAAAGTTAATATTATTTATGTTTATCATACAACAAACTAAAATTTGTACACTCATCTTTTTTTTTGAATTTATTAAGAAGATTGGTATTCTTTTTTCAGGAAAACCTGGAAGACAAACATTCCAATCTAATTACCTGGAAAAGAAAAAGAAAACATTTTTTCACCTTGGTCAGCTGATAGCCCTGTCAATAATTCAAGACGGTCCTGGTTTGCCCATTTTTTCAGATATTGTTACTGACTACATTATAAATGGGCAAACCTCTGTGATAAATCCTGATGATCTACCTGATGGACTGAAAGATGCACTGGAGAAAGTAAGTATTTGTGAATGACTATATTGCACAATATCACAGTTTTGTGCAATAGCAACACATCTTCATTTGAAATTAGTACAAATATTTTCACTTATTTTAATTTTTTGATGATCTTTCACATCATTTATTTTGTGTCAGAAACCTTTATTATGTCCAAAATTTTATGACAAAACAAATTTAGACAGTATCAAGGTTGAATATTGCATCCAAATTTGCACCAACTGATCATGGTTCGAACTCCAGTCATATCAGGCTGCACTCTGCAAAGCATTTTATTATTTTAATAAGATAATACAAAGAAAGTGTATGAAGCAACCATTTTATTTTAGAAGGGGCTTGGATTAAACTAGGAAGGCACTTTTTATTTTACACCCACCATGCATACATTTTAAATTGGATATTTCATTTCAATGTTCAAGCAATCTTTCTTGAATAGCCACCACCCATCAAATTTTAATAAAGGGCCATCCTTCCCCCCATACAATTAATTCTGGAAAAGCCCTTAAGTAAACAGTTAGTAGGAAATTCATAAGTGAAAATTCTAACCTTAGTCCTTCCGTTAAATATATTAATATTGATTCACAGAGGCTCATAAATTTTCAAAATCAGCTTATATATTGATTTATAATATTTTATATAATACTCAAGTTTTCATGGTTCACTGAATGTAGAAAAATTATATTGAAGGGACCATATAACTTTAAAGAGATAATATATTCTTCTTTTTATGTTGCGAATTTTTAATATGTTGCTGATAATATACAAGAACAGCAGATGATAATGTCATGTATATTGATCTATTTATTTCGTTGCTTTAAGATGCAGAATAGTGCGTCTGATCGAGATGCAAAAGAAGCATATTCATCCATTATGGATATTGCTACAGATATTGGGTTTATAGTACCAATAACATCCTTTACTAAAAAACATGTAAAACCACTGCAAGCAGCTTTTATTGAAAGTCAGATTTCCAGCTGCAAAGATGAGCTAAACCAGTTTATTGAAGGTTGGTTAATCTATAAATAGATTTACAGATAGCATCAGGCATTATTTGAAACATATAAGTTTTGTCACATTTCCTTGACTTCATTTTTATGGTTAATCAGTCAAAATAGTGCCATGTTCATGAAGAGTTTTAATTGAAGATATTTTTGATAAACAAACTATGATATTAGAATAATGGGAAATCAGTTATGTATTCTAAATATATAGTCACAAAGAATTTAATTAGATTTGTATTTGATCAAAATCAATTTTCTAATTTTGTTGAACTAATGCGATACTTGTAGTAAAACCTTCAAGACAATAACAATCAAAACTAAGGAGTTAACAAAGACTTTTAAAACAAAAAGACATT